TAAAACAGACATATCTATGAAAAGTTGCGTGTTACTTGATAATATTTTTGAAATGCCCAAGAAGAAATCATTATATGAAACAATTCCTACTGAATAATTCCTAGTAAAACTAATGGCAATGATAGAATCTATTCTCTCTGTGCTCTGGATTTTCATCCATTGGAAAAGTTTAAAATGCAGAACAGTAGCATAAAGAACAACACAGCATTACTTATAACACCAGAGATTCCGTCTGTGTTGCCATGAGGTCCCTGCCAACATGGAGTCCTTCTGGAACACTAACAGAATCTTATCTTGCTTTACATGAGAAATGCAAATTTTGCAATATGAGGTGAACCAGACAAAAATAAACCTAATTTCCTCCATCTTCTGTAAGAAGGTTCTTACCTGGGTTTTTCCCACAAGCTTCCTGATTCTGAAATCAGGTTAGGTGCCTCCATGGTGACTCTGTGCATTACAACACCTAATGGGGTCCTTGAACTCAAATTTTTATTCAAGAGTAACTGAATGAAGAATGACCGAGCCGATAATGAGAACTATGCTCAATTCGTTAAGGCGAGACCGTAAGGATAATAGAGGAATATATATCTGGAGTAAGAGTGGATATCCTCCTCCTTGTGGTTCTGTTCATGACCCTTGACCATGCAGCTAAGAAAATGATTTTGACCACTGCCTGGTAGGTTGTCTTGGCACATAGTAAATCCTTAGCAAACACTTGCAAAAACCGTTAAGAAGGGTCCCTTTGTGTATCCTACTCTGGCTTACCCACCTGGTCTACACTGCGTTGCCTACATCCCTCTTTAGGGTCCCTATAACTTGAGTTAATAAACTTTTTTAAAAGAATAGCTGGCACATTGTATGCATTTTATAGATGCAATTAAACATAAACAAATAAATATATGTAAATATATAGATATGATTCATTTAAACTTTAGTACTAGGGGCTGAGTCTTTGGAGCTTGATTTCTATGGAAGGCTTTGCTTTCCCCCAACATGGGCTGCGGGATGTCATCTGCCAGGTTTCCCGTTAACCTGGGCAATCACTGGGAGACGTTGCTGCTCACTTTCTATCTAGCTTGAATTCTCTGCCTCGTATCTAGGTTTTCATTCCCAGTTATGTTCTCTCTGTGGCAATGAATGGAATGTTTTCAATCCCCTTCAGCAGGATAAGTCATTTCAGCTTAAAGAGATCCCCTGTGCACAACACCAGGGTCCTGGTAAACCTCCCCTGGTAACACTTGCTCAGACGGCCCCGGTGCGTCATGCCATAGCCATATTCTGTGAGCTGCTCTTGGCCCCAGAGCCAGATTGTGAGAGCACCTTTAACTGAAGAACTCAACCCACTTCCCAGAATTGATTCAGCCAAAATATTACTTCCCGAAGAAAAGACAAACCAAGCAAAAAATGAAATAAACTAGAGCAAAAGCCCGTTTTCTTATTCCTCCTATCCTTTTTCTATTGCAAAGTATTTAAAAGTGAAGGTCCTCAAACGATTCAGGTATGTCACCAGTTTTTGGTAAGTACACTGATTGTATGTTCCAAAGTACTTGGCATAGATAAGTGAGGCTAAAATACAAAATTAAACCAAGTATTTATCTCTTCATTTTTAAATTTTTAAACAAAAAAATTTAGTGGAACTACTGAATGTAATATTGTTTTAGAGGCATCAAGCTGTTACATAAAAGTTACATGTTGTAGAGAAAATAAAATGTAAGGTAAATTTGATGTCCTCTAACTAACATTCACTTGATATCAATCACAGTTTACTGTAACCCTTGTCTTATCAGTAGTATTCACTAGAATACTATTCCCTAACTCAGAGTCCTTATCTCTGAGTCAGACCTCTCTCGGGCTGCTATATTCTACCCTGTTAGCTCCAGAATTTCAGGTCAACTTGGCTGTTTAATTTCTCTCTGGGCTGCTCCTCCCAGATTCTGCCTTTTCTCTCTCCATTTCAGTCAAAAACAGAGTAAACAACTTTATTTTACCATTTCGATTTCTTTACCACCAAGGAACAGTCTGTAACTTTTCCAAACATTGGACTTAAAATGGCTTTCACAAAAATGATGATTTTTTTACTTATGTCTAAACTCTTAACATGGAAGAGATTCATTCAGAAAATGCAATTTTATAAAAGTGAGTTAGAATGCCCTTTGGGTTGTGCTCACTGCATACCCAAGAATGCAAGGACATGCCCACAGTCCCTAAGGAAAAGGGACATGCAAATGTGGAGAGGAGTGTAGGAAAAGCTATTTTCTGGGTTTGCCTCCATTTTAGCATCTGGCAATAAATATCTGAGTCAGAGGTAGAAAGAAAGCCATGCTAGGGAGAGACAGGAACACTGGGTTAAGTTAGCAACTAGAAACTTGTGGGTTTGAAGTTTTTACTTTTCTTCTTCACTTTGATGGAAGAGGACAAAGGAATATGCGTAGATAGGATCATCTAATCTAGAGGGAATGAACTTAACCTCCCCACAACTCTCACCTCTCCTGCTGGGCTTGGGGTGCAGGGGAGAGGAAGGGAAGAAAGTGGAAGGCGAGGAGACAGAAAGGATCAAGGGGTGGGAGAAGGATGAAAGCAAATTTAGGGAGGGAAGGAGGGAGGGAAGGAGCAAGGGGAGAGAGACCTCCCCTAAAACACAGCAAATGCCTCCAATCAAAAGTTTGAAAGTAAGACCATGGGAAAAGCATTTTAAAAAGCCACATTTTTTTTCTTCAATACAGGGGCAGATGAGGAGAAAAAAAGAGCTAAGAACAAGAGGCATGGACGACACAAGAAAGAGGAAGAAACGAAACCTCACCTCCTAATCATCCTGCCCGAGGTGCTGAAAGCATTTCTTAATAAAGTGTGAAGCTTCAGCTGAATCCAAATTCCTGGCATTGGAAGCAATGCCACAAGCCACTTAGGAGAAACAAAATCTTCTCTTTTTCCTAAAGTGAAGAAAAATCCTGTGTGTTTCTACGAGGTCTCCTCCATCCTGAATAACCTAGAGTCTTCTTCCATCATTTCCTGGAAGAGGCCATAATAACGGCAAACCTGCCCCATAGTTTACCAGTCTGTCAGAGGACCCTGACGCTCTCTTCCCAGCCAGTCCCACGACCCATAAGTGCCATCCCCAGGAAGCACACACACCCACGGAATTCTTGGTCACAAAGATGTGCAGAATGTCTGTGACATGATAAGGCTGGGAAAATGACACAGAAGAGATTTCCCTAACCACAGAGAAAAGAGGGATATTTAATAAATGGTGCTTCCATGAAATCTGCTTGGAAAAAAAAATAATGTTAGACTCCTATGTCACCCCATATATGAAAATTCCAAATGGATTGAAATGCAACAAAAGAAAATTGAGAAGCTGGGGTTATTTGAGAATTGGGAAGACCTTCCTTAATAAGATTTTTTTTTAAAAAAAACCTACAAGCTGTTTAAAAAAAAAGAGAGAGACAGAGAGGCATATTTGACTACAAAACATTTCAAAACCTTGTATAAAAAATACTGTAATCCTAGCTCTCTGGGAGGCCAAGGCAGGCGGATTGTTTGAGCTCAGGAGTTCGAAACCAGCCTGAGCAAGAGCGAGACCCTGTCTCTACTAAAAATAGAAAGAAATTAATAAGACTACTAAAAATATATAGAAAAAATTAGCCGGGCATGGTGGCACATGCCTGTAGTCTCAGCTACTCGGGAGGCTGAGGCAGGAGGATTGCTTGAGCCCAGGAGTTTGAGGTTGCTGTGAGCTAGGATGACGCCACGGCACTCTAGCCTGGGCAACACAGTGAGACTCTGTCTAAAAAAAAAAAAAAACCTTGTATAAAAAATAGCACATAAAAATCACGTCACTTATCGGTGCCAATGATTTGTTAAATAATCATGCTTACTGAATTCAGGCAAAAGTAATCATTCAAAATGGCGATAGTGGGTCTGACGTTTTGACCCAGTGAACTACTACTGGAGACTATAAACATGCTTCTTGCTTCCCTGTGCTGCCCTGGGTCTGGCCACCTGTCTCTGGTCTCTCACCCCCTGAGTTTCATGGTTAGCTATTCTGACAAACATGGGGTTCACTAGAGGGCCCCAGAATTATGTATCTCTTAGTCTATGTTTTAACAATCTCAAAAGTGCCCAGAATATGAGACAGCTTGTGTGTACGTGTGTGTGAGAATTACTTGTGTAATGAAGAGGAGAGGGGAATAAGCCATTAGACCTCAAACCAGAAGTACTTATCACTAAGATAGTTGTAGTAATTATACCATTCTATTTTTTACTATGAATACATTTATTGGTTCATAAAGTATAAACATTTCATGAAAATATTCTTTATAATTGCTGTCTACAACCCCTGGGCTGCAGACTGGCACCAGTCTGTGGCCTGTTAGGAAGCGGGCTGCACAGCGGGAGGTGAGCAGTGGGTGAGTGAGCAAAGCTTCATCTGTATTTAAAGCCTCTCCCCATCGCTCGCATCACCGCATAAGCTCCGCCTCCTGTCAGATCAGCAGCAGCATTAGATTCTCACAGGAGCACAAACCCTACTGTAAACTGCGCATGCGAGGGATCTAGGTTGCGAGCTCCTTATGAGAACCTAAAGCCTGATGATCAGAGGTGGAGCTGAGGCAGTGATGCTAGTGCTGGGGAGTGGCTGCAAATACAGATTATCATTAGCACAGTGGTTTGATTGCACAATAAATGTAACGCGCTTGAATCATCCCAAAACCATCCCTCTACCCCAGTCTGTGGAAAAACTGTCTTCCATGAAACCGGTCCCTGGTGCCAAAAAGGTTGGGGACCACTGCTTTATAAGAAGAAAAAACAACCACGTGGAAATTATGTCTGATTCCTCCTCCTCCAGTTTAGAAATGAGAAAATGATGGGTACAGTAATGCAACCTTGCAAAGAGATCCCTTCGACTTTTTCAACATTTTTTAATAAAATGACATCAATTGCTGAAAGCATTATGACCTTTGTTATGCTACATAATACTGATACAAAATGTGAATGGTACAAAGTTCATTATATATAATATAAGGCTTTAATATATTACATTTGTTTCTACATAAACAGACTATAAATATATGTGCCATAGCATGTTTTATAGTCATTGTTCCCAGTATTTCACACTATGGTACCAAATGAAAAACACATTTTCTTTTTTTAAAAAAAAATGAAAGAACAAGGGCAAAAACCAGTAGAAATAGCTCTATATGTTAAAAGTCTAAATAATACAATAGATGTTGTTATAATTTTGGCTATAAAGTAATTTTTGAAATCTGGCTAATAATCATTCAGAGAGTGAACAAAACCCAAACAGGTTTACTGGAGTGTAGAGGCCAAATAACTAACATACTGGCAGGCTGTGGGGAGAGCAGGTTGGGGGTAGGGGAGGAAGAAAAAGGGTAAATTCCTTCCTGAAGCTTTGACACCACAGCTTGACACTGAACCTACTGCATTCAGTCTCAGACATATCCCATCAGGACAGATATTCTGGTATTCATCCAGAAGGAACCAGAAGCTGGTCTGTGCAGTCAGAGCTCTTCAACACGGCAGGGAGCCCCGGGCTGAATGTCCTTTCTTTGTGGTGCTCTGAATAAAGGATCAGCCCGGGAGACAAGGAGCCAGAGCCGCATCATTTCCTTCCTGGGGCTTGGCCAGGAGACACGTAAGGGTCCGGAAGGAATGCTCATTAAGAGTCGGAAACAGCACAAGGAACTCTCCTTTGGCCCAACTGCGAAGATCACGCAAACTTCTAAAACCAGAAACCTCGTCTGCAGCCTTTACATTTCCTAGCAGACCACACGCCCACCTCCACCAGAGCCAGCACCATGCGCTTTCAGGCTCCACCATTCTCTCAAAGCAAGCTAACGTCTTCCTTTCTATCGACGCAAATCCCACACTTAAGACTTGGCTCGGGACCCAAAGCCTAAAACAAAGCCTCTCAGACGGCCTCAGCCCTGCCAGTCTTTCCCATCTTCAACACAAAGCACATACGTTGCCTGGTTTATCTTCTAGTTTAACAGAAGTGTCAACTCCCCAGGTCCTGCTACTCCTTGGCGGATGGAGCCACTTCTTGACCGTCTTTGTTCGAACCCATGTGGAGACCCACAGCCGGGGGCATCATAAATGCTTTTTAAATGAATGAGAAAGAGAATCGGGTCAACACTGGGAGAAGATACAAACACATTCTTGGGTCACAAGCATCTTCGAAGTCAGGAAATGCCTAGAGGACTAGCTCCCTGCAGTCCAAGGTCCTTTTTTTTTGAAATGAAAATCAAATGTGGCTACTTCCTGGTGGTGGAAAGAACAACACTTGACAATCTGAGCAGCACCTCTCACGTGGTTTCCAGGAGCAGGGGGCGGGGGTGCCTCCTTTTAAACAGGGGGCGAGCTCAGTGTGTTCCCAGCGTCAGGCTGGAGAATCTGGGCCACGCTGCCGGCTTGCATTCCGATCTCCACCAGCTTTAAGAGTTCCGCCTCCTCGCTGGAGCACACGGTGGTGTCCGTGTCGTCGGAGTGATACCCAGACTGGTAGCCACTCGTCTGGTTTGAGCCTTCAGATGCCACGGACTCCCTGCTTTTGCTGGGCATCATCCCACTGTGGAAGAAATGGCAAACAAATGAGTTGGCAGAGAGAAGACAGCTCTTTTGCTTCTTACCCTAACCCCATTCCCCACTCCATGTGGGCTTGTAATCTCCCTGGAGCCTCCAGCCTCCTGTCTCTCCCCCACAGTTGTTAGCCAGCGCATCAGCTTTACTCCAGCAATGTCGATTTTCAGGTACTCGCATGAATTACTAGTTGCAGATAAGTCCTCTTATTGAGGTCCAAGTCTTCCAAGCCTGGGATGAGATGAAAGGCAGTTCTTCTGAGTTATGCAAAGGCTCCAACCAATGGAACATTTTTACAGTCTTGCAGATGGACAAGTTTGTATACAATGACAGGAGCCAAAGGGCCGCTTTCAGGATACTCAAGGAAACTGGGATGTTCTGAAAGTTCACATGTGCTTTCCCCTATTCCATCAATTAGGGGACTACAAGGTATGTGTATGGTGTTAATAAAGTTCTTGAGCAACTTTAATAACTTGAAGCGTGTGTGCAATCAAGCCAGGCATGTCAAACACTGCTTTTTACTCATCAAAACCACATTCTTTGGAAGGACTAAGGACCCCAATCACTCAGCAGCAACTACAGAATGTTTTCAACGGCCTGGAATCCTGACAGACGGTAATCATGTCAAAGCTTAGAAATGTACGCTGTGTTCATCTAAAACTTCAGGATTTACATGTTCTCAAGCCATTTGAGGGTGTTTTTCTCCCTTAATAGGTATTTTATCCAAATGATTCATATTAAAAACTGCAAAAAAGGATTTTTATGAACTTTGTGTTCACATACGGTTTAAGTTACTTCAAATAACTAGAAATACAATTTTTCTTTCAATCCAATCCCAATAAAACTAGTTTAGGTATCTCAAGCAATGGCATGGTCCTGGCACATAGTAGTTACTGAATAAATATTTTTTCGAGTCATTGAATGAAACATATGATTGGCTGTCACAATTTCTTACCTTGGGGCTTAAAGAAAACACTAAAATTGTACAATGGCATATTCTAAATTTTTTGTGTGTATCACTCAAAAACTCATGGGTATCCCATTTTATATAACAGCTAGATTATATCAAATTCTTACTTAGAATGAGCCCTCTAGCAAATAAATTACTACTCTTTTCCTATTATTCTTATAGATATTCATGTATCTGTTAGGTTAAAAGTAGGTACACTTATTCAAAGCAACTACAAATTCCTACTGAACCATATAGGGGAGATTATATTTAAAACCAAATTTAATACTTTTCCCACAATTAAATATTTAATTCAGACAATAATATTTAAGTATCTTAAACAAATAGATATTGGCTCATTTATACATCCTATTTCTTAAATACAGATGCACCCATTCATGTACAGTTTTGAAAATTCTTCAGAGTCCACAAAGATTTTGATCTTATTGGTTGTTTTAGGGATCGTGTCTAGTGACCTGTTTGTTATTCAGCAAGTACATACAAACTACTAGCCATAGTAAATATGCTCAGAAATTCCCTGGTATTCATAAATTCTCATACAAATTGACCAAATCCTCTAATTTATTTCAGTTTACTTTTTAGATTTGTCAATTTCATTGTTTCATTGGTTTCAATTTTTCATTAGTTGGATGCTAATTTCTCCAATGAACAAAGACACTCACAGGGGGAAATCTGAGCTTTCACTGAAAGTCCTAAGTTTCTTCCAAAAATTCCTATTGAAATTTGTCTTTTTTATTTAGCTGAGTCTTACCTAAAAGATGGAGCTAATTTTGTTCTGTCTTCCAAAGTTTTCAGCTCTTCTGAGGCAAGAACCATCCCACTATCCGTCTGGTTGTCCTTTTTAAGAGACAATGAGATGGCACAGTTGATTGAGTGTATACACCGACCAACTATTTAATGAAACTGATTTTGAACTCATCTATCAGACAATATGCTCCAATGTCCATCAGAGGAAGGTAAAGGTATCAAAGCCAAAAGTTGTGCATGCTACAAAAGGAAGCAACTGCTTCCTGTACGTAGACTTAGGCCAGGGAGAAGAGAAAATTTATGAAGCAGCAGCTGAGGAAGCCTGTTTTCATCCCTCTTTTCACAATGATACTATTCACACTTTAGTGAAATTGGGCATAAAGCTAGACTATCTTGAACCTTGAACCAGGGGCTTTACTTGTAAAAACCAAAGTTCCATCTCCATAACGACCCCAGTGACACATACCTTCAAGGACAGCCTTATAATGAGGCTTCAAGACTTTAATGCTTAGGCTAATATTTATCTAGCTAGTGTTTCATCCTTTGTATTATTTCTAAGACTATTTTTAAAAGATGTACTTACATCTGGGATTACTTTTACTTCTGGTTCTTCCAGTGGGATATCTTCAAATGTTTTTACACTCACAGGCCGGCTCTTTCGCTTACTGTTCTGCAGATACTGACTGCAAAAGAACAAATATTTATATTTTAGTGGTGGTATATTTGGCTGCAGATACTCCAAGTGATACCTAAGTTCATTATCTTTCAACCACAAAGTTTAAGAGCAACCTTCAAAACATCCTTTGGAAAAAGAAAAACAAAACAAAACAAAATCTTTCTCTGCTAGCACACAGGGAAGGCTTAATTTCCTGTGAATGTCCATTTAAAAGTATAATATAACTGAGGAGCCCAGAGGAGCCCCTGTTCCTTGGAATCATACTTCTGAGATCCGCTGCTGCCCTAAAGACAACAGCAGCAGACTGGGTGATCGGCTGCCTTCTGCTTGGCTTCCTGATTGCTTGTGATTCCTCCACTGGGCTCTGGACACATCACCGAGAGTTTCGCATCTTTCTGGTCATCTCCTAGGAAAGTTTTTCTAGATGATGCTCACAGAACAAGCATTCGAAGAAAGATGGGCAGAGGCAACACCTGTAGGTCTCCCTAAAGGATTCTGAGTCCAGCAGTGATCTAAAGACAACTCCTCCTTCAACAGGTAACGTGCAGAGGGACAAAGGCTGAGTCTCACTGTCCCTTATTTTAGCCGCCTGAGCTGCCTGTCTCAGGAAAGGGCAGTGGTTTGAGAGTCATAAGATATTTTGCTTATTTCAGAGTCTCCCACTGACTGCAGGAACATGAGAAAGTCATGAATATTTCTGTGTCTCTGATGCCCGCATTTTAAAAATATATTTGGCAATAGCGGTCCCTCCCTAGCTCACTAAGATATGGGGAAGATGACGTAGCAAATGTTGGGCTTATTGTTCTTAGAAAGAATAATGCTCTATCAGTCAAAGTTTGTTTTTCTCCTCTGAATTCCAAACGGTGCCAAAAGGGATTCCTGCAGGAGTCCAAAGAGTAAGACTTGTCAGACAACAGATCACCTCTTTCGTGGGAGGAGCTCCTTCCTGGCCACAGGGCTTTGGGTGAGTCTGGATGATCTATCAAAGTCACTTAGAGCTCAAGTGGAGAGAAGACAAGTCCTTTTCACAAGAAGGAATGGAAAATACACTCTTAACTCTTATCCCAGCCTACTTTCCACTACAAGTAGCCTTCTGGAACACGCTGCATAGACCTTGGGCCAAAGAAGGAGAATGGAAACTAAGTCTCTCTCCCCTCCCCCTGGAGGCTGGTTCTTCCCCTTTCGGAGAGGCCAGAACGAGGTTTACCAGTATTAGCCTCACTAAGGAAGCGCCACAAGAAAGAGGACAAAATATACAGGGATCAAGCAAAGCCCACTTTCTCCGAAGTCCAGTCCCTAAAAGTAGTGGTTGTCAAGAACTACTGACACCATAGTCAATCATTTTTTCATTCACTCATTCAGGAAGCCCTTATTAAGAATGTGCCACATGCCGGGCCCTGTGCCAAGTGTCCTCGAAACAGCATCCCCTGGCATCTTCACAATGACACCTCTCTAGGGCTGGGTATTATTACGCCAACTTTTTAGATGAGGAAACTGAGGCGTAGCAAGGTTAAGGAATGTATCCAAAATTGCATAGCTAGAATGCTGGGATTACTGTTTTGAGGGCAATGAGGAGCCACAGAAGGCATTTAAGCCTGAGACTGACAAGGTCAGACACGCCTTTAGAAAGGTGACTCTGGGTTGAGGAGGATAAGAGCAGAGGGATAGCACACTTCTCTGCAAGAGAGGAGAGCAGCCTGACTAGAGAAAGGGAACGCCTGAGGTTTGGGGAAGAGGACAGATTTCAGTGGTATCTGTGGTGTAGAATCAACTCGAGCTGGTGAGCTTGGGCCGTAATTCAGCTGTCTTAGATCAGCTCCCTGAGTTCTCAGTCCAGTAATTTAAAAAATGGTATGGTCCTTCCCAGCAGACAAAGCATTTGCACAGACATCGTTGCATCTACTGCTTACAGGACCAGGAAATAGGTCTTTGTATTATTTCCCACTTGCAGATGAGGAAGCCAAGGCTCGGGGAGAAAATGGCTAAGAAAGGGTAGAACTAGGACTCAAACTCAGGTCTTCAGACTCCAAAGCCCATGCAAGTTCGTTGGTTTGGTTGTTTTCTGTTTTGTTTTTTTTTTATCCTACTCCACATTGAATGCCTTTCAAGAGTCTCAGGAAGGAAAAGGAAGAAGAGAGCAGCAGACAGGATTGTTCAAGTCTTTATTAAGCACCTGGAACGTGCGCAGTGCTGTTCTGGTTGTCGTGTGTGCACCGACCGAGCGGTGGGAGGGGAGTGCGGGTAAGTGTGGGGTATGAAACTGACAAAAGGTGGAGAACGGACAGTCCCACTTCAAGCAGTCTAATGGCAGAGCCAAGTTCAGGAACACGTAGCCAGCAGGCTGTCCCAATCGTCAATCTCCAAGAGGCATTTCATCATCACTAGCAATTAACCAAAATGAAGAAAAGGGTATGTACCAAAACCTTTCTCTGAGAGAGAACTGCAAAGAAATCTTTGATAAGCTGCTTGGAGTGGCAGGTGAAAGTCCCAGGGGAAATGACAGAGCAACCGCAGATGGTCCCCAAACTGCCCTCAAGGAAAGATGAGTCCAGTGGATCTGTGCTTTCTTGCAGGAAGCATGCAAACTTGGGACCAGAGCTGATCCACAGGGGAAATTAGAGACAAAACTAAGTCTAGACGTCCCTGGTCCTTCCCCACACACTTCTCAGCCTCTTCTCTAAATAAATGCTGAGCAAATATTTTTAAAATGGTTCAAAGGGGCAAGGACAAATCACGAGGCCAGTTCCCACAGTGATGTCTCTGTCCAGCTCTATTTAGACTGCAATGGAATTGAAAATTACAAGGAGAAAGCAAGTGAGAAAAACGCCTCCGTTTTTCTGCTTGGCTGGAAATGAGAAAGAGGATAGAACGGTTCCCCCTGAGAGGTACCCCGGCCTCATCTCGCTCTCCCCGGAGAAACATAACCACAGGAGAGCATCAGAAGGAAGCGTGCCGTGTGCAGATGCCTCTCTCTGCCTTTCTTTGAACCCAGATGATTAGAAAGTAACTGGGAGTTTTATTTTTATAAAAAGGAAAAAAGGTGGAGGGGGTTGAGAGGGGATGCAGACAAAAGATTCCCATTTCCATTTTATTTTTGAAGGTACGGCTGGATAAAAGAGAAACTGGACTGGAAAACCAATTCAAAAATCACAGAAAATAGGAGCCAGGCCCATGTCGGGAGCGCAGTGTCGCATTTGTCCACGCTGCTGGGGATAAATGTTAGCGGTCCTTTTGCAGATCCAGCATCGTGTTTGGCATTTCCAGCACACAAACATGACTTCGTCTCCCGCTCGGCACCCTGTGCAAAGCACCCAGTGAGCCAAGAGGCTGCCAGCTTGGATCCTCGCTCCACTTGGTCACAGAAAACACAAGGAATATAGTTCAGGACCAAATGGCTTTCTGATAACGGAGCGGCCAATAGTAGTGTTGAGGGAACAATTGTCACACTAGGAGGCCGGCTGAACTTGAACTAGGAATTTGTCAACATAGGAGTGGAACCGGGGTCTCATTTCACGACTCTTCCTCTCTGAGGGCCCTCCTTGGTATGGGAGAAAACAGCACTGAATCAGATGTCGGAGGAAACGGATTCATCTCAGGGATGGGACTGGAAGCTGCTCACTTAATAGCCATCTTTTATCGAGTGCTTGCGAGTGCCGGGCACTGAGAAATACGTTATATCGTGTAACTCTCAAAACAGCTATTTCCAAACAGCACCAGTGGTCTTGCCTCATGTCACAGATAAGGAAACTGAGGCAGAGGGGAGAGGATCTTCTCCGAGTCACACAGCTGCTAAAAGGCACACTTGGGAGTTCTATTGACTCTAATACCTGCATCGAGCTGAGCCTTGTGTTCACCTGTACATCAAAAAAAGATAATAGTTTCTACTTCGCCTAACTCTGGGCATTATCATGTGGGCAAAATCTGAGAGTCTGTGGAAAAATGCTTTTAAAAATGCTGAATGCTTTTGACATAAAGGGAATGGTCAGCTCACTTGTTGGCTTCTAACCACTCTAAGCTTTCTTCTCTCATCACGGTGTTCCTGCTGCCCTGCGTGACTCCACGGGGCACACGGTCCACGGGTACCTCCTCGGCATGGCCCGTGATGTGGCACCCTGGCCAAACACCCAACACGTGGGAGAGGTCCTGCCCCTCCTTGCAGCCACGGCACCCTCAGGAGGGCACGCTGGACCCAGGCCATCAGGGGTTCCAGTTAAAGGAGGAAAACACCCAAAGGGGTTGGGAAGGAAACAAAGCAAAGTGAAGTAGTCCCAGGCTTAGTAAAAGGCAATTTTAATATCACATTGGCGAAACCCGTATCAACTCTTTCCTTACGCACAGGTGCTGGGAGAGAGAAAAAAGAAAGCAGCCCTCAGAACCCCTTGACACACCAGGAAAGGGCTGCAGTGCATGTGTTTTGAATAAGCCCAGACGTCCCATTATGCAAATAAAATGCTGAAGATCAGACTTGGGAGGGGCTTCTGAGATGCAGTGTCCAGTCTCATTCAGGACTCAGACCTATGGCGTGCTGTGTCCTCGCCAGAGAACCGCAAGCGTGTTCTCATATGTGCACAGAACTCTCCCTTCCTCAATCTCCTCTAAGCCATTTAATTCGCAGTAATAAAAGCGTACATGGGGATCATTTAAATACAGATGTCTTTGGACAACTGGTCTCTCTTTCTGGAGATTAGCAAACTGTGGCATTCCAGCTATTGCAGCTGCAGGGCTTAGAGTTCTTAAAGGAAGAGCTGTGGCAACAGCATGGGCTACAGATGGGAGGAAACTCACCTACCAACCCTCCTCCAGAAGCGCTCCCCTTCGTCTTAGCGTCAGGGCTAAGGTTACGCGGAAGTGGGATGCAGCAGCCTTAGACAAGGTCTTCCTTCCACTTCTACTCCCCCTCCCTGGGATGGCCTTGAAGCCCCCCTGCCCCAGGGGACGTTGGCCATATGCAGTACCTGATTCCTGCTGTGTTGTCATAATGGAATTTGGGGTCACACACTTCCTCTTCCTCCATACAGGAAACAGGTGAGGTAGGCAGAGAGAGTCCAGAATCCTCTTCCATGCTCAAAGTCTCTGATATTGGAAGAACAATGTAGTCTTTGCCATCCTGAAACAATAAACACAGCACACTATTGTTGTGGCTTCAGTCCTTCAAGAGCCTTTTCATGAAAACAAAGGCCACAGGGGCTTCTTGGCTATAGGGTGTGTTGTTTTCATGTCTCAACAGAGAACTTTAAGACAACATTAAATATGGTTTGCCAAAAACAAAAGAGCACTTAAAAGGGATGTGTATACGAAGGTATATTAAAGGAGAGGACCGAAAACAAGGCGGGTAAGGAGACCACAGGGAACCGTGCTTACACTGAAGACACAGCAGGCTGTGGTCAGAGATAACAACACAACACACAGAGCTAAGAAATCATTTCTTCACAAAGCCCTGTCTACACGAGCCAGGCCCTTCAAAGGGCATGGCATCCAATTTTAGCCTCCTCATTTCCAGGCAATAGAAAAACTGATGACAGTCTAAAGAAAAGCAATACACAGGTAGGAAAATGGGTCTTCTGAGAAAAGGTTGCACAATTTAACATGACTTAAGCAAGGGAAAGAAATAATGGGCAATTTGATACCTTTAAACGTTTGGAATGTTTATTGGCAAAATCAGAGTTGACCCATCCTCATCCCCCAGCTGTTCAAAACAAAAGAAGGAGGACCGTGGCATCTATTGGGGTAAGAGGTGTTGACTGCAGATTAATTAACTTTCTAATGGTAAAGGCTACAACTCTAAAATCCTACAATGGAAGTTATGGGGGGTGTGAGATTTTTATCAAGGAAGAAACCACCTATTTTGCATAGTTTGGATGTATTTTTGTCTGCAGAATTTATTAAAAATTCCTTCAAATTTCTTCCATTGTTGATACTCTGTGGACAAACCAGATTCTTTTGTTAAATTTTAGAAGAGCATGTGAAGACATAGCAAAAAGATAAGTAGGTAGAAATAAGAGTGGTCTGCTCCCAGGTTATAAATTAGGATCTCATCTGCCTAAAAGGGTCATTACAGCTTTTAGAAGAGCATCGCTGCTCAGATGTAGAAGATCATGGCTCCTTATTCAGTGGCCAAGAGGATGGCATGGTGGCCGTGAGGTCTGGGCAGTAGGGAAACTCCTTGACACCTGAATATTTTTGTAGAAGTGTCTCAGATGGAGGTTACGAACCTGCTGAGCATTAGCTTGTAACAGATTTCCCAGATGTTCCACCAACTCTGAAAACGTGGGTCTCTGGTCGGGCTCCCCATGCCAGCAGTCAAGCATAGTCTGGTACCTGGGGAAATGAAACGTTGCTGTCACTAACTGCCTGGATCGGAGGCTGAAAATAAGCACTTGAGTAGGTAAACATTTAGAGAGAGCCCCCCGTGAGTCAAGAGGCACAACAGAGGGACAATACCACACGAGAGACAGAGCCCTACACTCGGAGGCTCAAGTGTGTACGGAAGAGAAAACATCACAAATCAGCACCTAATAACGACTAAGTGGTTGGTATGGACAGTAATAAAGTGCCGCCATTTTAAGAAGCGTCGATTGCACTTGAGATGATCGTGAAAGGCAGAAGTAGGACACAAACGGGGCCACAAAAGAGGTATATACGCTGGAAAGTCTTCCAGGCAGGGAGGACTTGTGAGCAGAGGAAGAGAACAGAAAGATCCTTTCTAAAGTCTTACATTTCCGGTGTGGTATAGTCAGGGGCCCTCATCCTAGTTCCTTCTTTCAATCGCCTACAAAATTCCTCATCAATCTTTACCCCAGGATATGGAGAAGCACCTAGAATAGAACAGGGAGAGGACGTTATTTGATTTGATTTGATTTGATGGAAATCCATGAGCCTGATTCTTGCACATCCTCATCCCCTATAAATGTTTTCTGTCTCCTTTTAGATTTTACAATCCAAGACGTCCAAGAAGTTTCACCTGACAGAGGCGAAGTACAGGAGGGGAAAGGACACCAACTTTTATCAACCTATTTGGAGTCGAGATGGAAGGACGAAAAGCAGTCACTTACCCAAGGAAAATATTTCCCAGAGCAAAACACCAAAAGACCACACGTCACTCTGAATTGTGTAGACTCTGTCAAAAATTGTTTCCGGGGCCATCCATTTCAAAGGGAGGCGAGCCTAAGAGGGTAGAAGACAAGGAATCAGAACCCAGATTAGCAAGGATCTGAAGAAAAAACTTCTTTTGTTCCCGAACACAGGTCCTGAAGTTTGCTATGAGTTTGAATTCTGTAACTTGATAGATCACTGGGTTCATCTTGGAAACTTACATCTCCTTTCCTGACATAATCCGGGTCCTTATAAATATCCCGGGCCAAGCCAAAGTCACAGATTTTCACCACGTTCTTCTCCGACAAGAGGATATTTCGTGCTGCCAGGTCCCTGTGGATACACTGCAAAGAGAATTGTGTTAGGTCTCGGAACAGCTGATCTCTTTTACATCTGTTGTGACCTCATGCTTCCCAAAAAAAAAAAAAAAAAAATCCCACATCAGAAAACCAACTGATTAACAAGGACTGGGTTAGTATCTTTTATCAACACTTCAGGAAAAAGGTCTGTGAACTTCGTGGAGACACACATCTGTTTATTCCATAACCAGCCCCAGCCTTTGGAGTTAAATAATTAAGTTATAATACGATGATGGAGTCATAAATAGACTTCTCTAGGACACAATTAAAAATGTGTTTCTGGTCACATCCACACATCCCTTTTGCCCGGCACCATATATGGTTAAAAATGTGTTATTCTAAGGAGGCCCCAGAATGGGATTTATTTTGAATGAACGCACGGAAATCAGAAACAAGTGTCCTCATTGGTTTGGTGCTCTTTCTCAGTTTCCCCATTCCATATGGAACTGAAGCCGGACCGGCTCTGATAAACCATTGCCAGTGGGGCTCATTCTGATTTCAAAGTGTTGGATTATCCCAAAGGTCTATTAAGGCAATTTCAGCCTATCACAAGTCAGATGGATTCTCCAATGCACTAAAAAGTAAAATGGAATTCACCTTGGCCTTCCTTCTATTCTTTTCAGCTTTTCGTGTCTGCTTTCTCTATATCCTCTAACTCCATCTAACTTCCTACTACTCGGCTGCTTTAGTTCCATATGATGAATTTGTGAGAAAATAAGAGTCTCAGGGAACACAACAAATGAAGCCAAGACTTAGATGAGAATTCTTAAGTCAGTGTAGGAGTGATTGTGTGAGCTGGGCATTACTGACCTTCCCACCACTCACATCTGTACAGCACTCTCTTCTGAACAAGGCATATTCAGAAACATATTGTCCAAAAAATAGACAGTACTTTCTACTGCCCCCTCAACTCCTTTTCGAGCCCAAGAACCAGGTGGTATTCAAGACATCACCTGGTAGAAGCCAGGGGAGTTAAAGGATTCCCACTCCCCTCACCCTACTCCCACCTCCACGCTCATTCCCTTCCTAGTCGCCAAAGGAACTCTGACTAAACGGCAAGCTTTAGCCTTAAAAAAATAATAATAATAAATCATAATCTCCAAGAAGGGCAAAGGGCTTTTCTCTTTGGAAAAACCCTGTAAGATCCCAGTTCTCCCCCTTCCCCTAAGAGAACACAAAATCTACGAAGCAGAAACATCTGAGCTCCTCAAACTCTGAAGGCTGTGAGAAGCTTTAAACTTCAGGGGGAAAAAAAATGGGTTAGGGATTTCATCTAATTTAGAAAAAAACAAACAACAACAACAAAAAACTTAAATCTTTCCTTCCCCAGTAGGCTGGGGCAAAATACATTGTCAACTGATAGTTTTTCCTGAACCTTAATTTGGATTTTTCTTGTTTAATGTAAAACTATGCATTTTTACCCTTTCCAGAGGGGTGACTGCCACCAACCCCGCTCCCTCCGTGGTATTTACAACCTTCGGGATATTTGTCACTTGTCACGTCCCCACCTCAGCCTTTGTTTGGCCTACTTTTCTAATTTTAGCTCTCTTAATCTCTTTCATCTGAAGCCTGTCCTTCCTGGTTTCTAATTATACTACTAACAAATACTTTTGATGGATGGTAATGAACGTAAAATAAATTAAAAATAGCCTCTCTCCTGCCGAGATACCTGCAAGGTTCAGTCCCTCTCCTGCCCAGGTCACTGCTCCAAAGTCACATTCTTAGTAAAGCCTTCCTCGTCCCCTTGTTTTAAATTGCTGTCTACACACACACACAAGCATAGGCACACACACGCCCCTCCTGTGTACTATGTAACCACGTCCTGCTTTATTTTTCCCATAGCATTTACTGCCATCTAACCTCCGATGGATTTTACTTATTTATGTTGTTTATTGTTTGCTCCACCCACGAGAATGTAAACTCCACGCAGGTGGATAGCTGCGCCTGTTTGTTCACTACGGTATCCTGAGTGCTCAGAAAACCACCCAGCACTTCACAGATGCAAGATAAGTATTTATTATACAGATTAGTTCCATGAACTCTTTAACCATCCTTAGTTAGCAGAAACAGAGCCTCCCCGGTAGGGCTCTTTCAAGAGTCCTAGAGGTGGTGAATGAATTATAATCCGAAACAATCACCAGTGGCTGCCACCAGATACCTTATTTCCACACCTGTGATCTCAAGAGACAGGGTCTTTCCCCATGACCTGGCTTACCTTTCGCGAAGCCAAGAACTCCATGCCCTTAGCCACTTGGAAGCTGTAACAGATGAGATGCTCCAAGGTCAGGAAGTCCTTGTAGAGATCTTCAGGAGCTGTCCAAAGAGGCAGGAGGATGGAGATCAGTGAGGTCAGTATTTCTACCCATTAGTGTGATTTGTTTCTAAGTTTGCTAAAGTAATGAGCTCTTTATTTGGGGGTTAAATTTCAAGAAATAGAAGCAGAAACTAAATGCCTCTAACTTCTGTAAATTTGTAGAATCTCAGTATCATTAGCCTTCATCATACCACTTAGGGAAAACATTAGTTTTTCCATTTTAGCCAAATTGAACCAGTAAATCCAGGAGGTAGAATAGAGGTAAAATTGGCCTAGATAACAGGGAAAGAAAGAGAACTTTTTCAAATTTGCTGTTTCAAACTGTTGTTTTTCTGTCATGTACTCAGAGGGATAAACAATAGTTTCATATCAAGAACTCTAAAAATAAAACAACAATATTCAGGGTCATTGGATCTTTTCTCTCCAGGATTTGTCCTAGGACAAAGACCAAAGGTCAAACTATAATCTACAACGGATAACTAAAAATATCCAAAACGTATTTTCTTCTCTCATTCTCAAACTTAAAAAGTGCTGTAAATACATTAAATCTTGCCTCCGAGAATGTTTTTTCCTCCAAGGATGTGAATGAGAGATAACAGGAACATGGAGAGAAAGATGAATTTACGTAAAGTGGTGGTATTTACTTCAGTGCAACTGGTACAAATAAACACCAAGACATTAATGGGTGTTTCAAAATGATCTCTTAACTTTGGTCAGATAAGATAAGACTTATGGCTTCTTTCCTGGAGACAAATACCAGCGTAAACAAAAACTTAGTTGTAATAATAACCTCGTAAGTATTAAAAAGTCTGCGAGCCTTTCTCTCAACAACTTGTTATGCTCAGGTTAAAGTGCTCTGAGTAAACAATTAGTGAAACCTCCGCGTTTTCCAAAAGAAGAAATGGAGGCAAGATTCCAGGCCAATGCCCCTCCTGCTCCAACATACTACCTCGATCCCGTAGGTTTAGCTCACTGGCCACCATTTTTTGAGAGAAGGAGCAGGGTACAGACAGCGCCGCTCAGTGTGAGTCCAACTACATGAGACCTAGACCACTCCCTCATGCTCTTCTAGACCAAGTCCCAGCCTCACACCGCCTACTCGGCTTCTAAGGGAAAGAAGCTAATTGTAAGCTCTCTCTGTAGCCCCAAGTCAAGGGAAACAGAGTGGGTTTCTTCCACTCCGTCCTGATGGATTCTTCTAGACTGATGCCTCAAGAGCAGCCAGACGCCAGGAAGCCCCATCTCTATCTACACCCATGGAGCTGTCTCTGCTCCTTCCGAGGGAAGCAGATACACAGTGTGTCCTGGAGCTGGCTGAAGTCCTAGATGTTAGGCTGGGGCCACAGCGCCAAAGAGCACTCAAATTTCATTGGGAACATAACTGAATAAAGATGAGCAAATGTACCAAGACCCCGCTGAGGAAGTGTGGCTGGAAGGAAGACTTGATAAGCCACTTGGGGTGGGGCAGAAACAGCAGATGGCTCCTATACTGCCTTGGGGAAGGTGGGTATGGTGAATTGGAGACTCTTTGTGTGCCGGTGAAGCATGCAAAGTGGGCTGCACAGCTCAGGGCCACGGCACTGTACCCCTCCCACTGGCAATGCCGAACCAGTACTTTAAGAGCATTGGTGAGGTTGCTGCCGACCGCCTACCCCCCCCGTGCCCCCCAGATTTCTCAGGCTAGCACTGCCCTGCCTCCCAACCTAGCCCACTGCTCATTCAGGCCTTCCACGCTCCACTTCTGGGGAGACTGGATGGAGGCAGGCTGGAAATTGAGGTCTCTTTCAACTAGAAGGTAGTATCGACCTTTTCCTGTGACCAATCCCTCGTGTCACCCTGCCTACTCCTACAAGAGCAATGGCGCTAAGTGCGGAAGAAGCAGTGGCAGGTACCTTCCTCTTCCTCCACGTCGCTGAGCGACTTCTCCTCCACAAATCCGGAGCTGGCGGAGCTCTGGCTGCTGGTGATGCTGTCCAGGCGGCGCTTCGGATCCACGGGAATCTCCCCAACGTAGTCCTTTCCCTGACGGAATCGCGCCCCTTTGGACTGCAGAGAAGCAAAGGAACAAACAAACTCGTTGAATACAAACTGGGCATCTAAAATGCAGTAAACTTTGGAAACAATTGAAACTATTAAAAAGCAGACAGGAAGGATGTCCATTGCAGGCGCATGGAGTCTCTGGGCTGAAATTCGGGGCATGTTTTGTACATAATAGGGCTTCTCCCACGACACCCGGCTCCTTCTTTGGCTTCAAGACATAAATGTCTTATTTTGAGCTGTCCTCAGACACGCTTCCAGCCTTAGGGTGCTTTTCACAGAGGCATTTACACTCCATGGGGCCAAATATGGCTGGAGGAGAGAGAGAATGATCCAGAGCCGTCCTCCCCTCCGCCCTTCCCTTTCCTGGATCGTACTTGCCTTCTCCCCAACTCCGGCACTCTATAATGCATCCGTGGATTAAAGCCACAAAAATAAAACACGACAAGCACACGTTCCCCCAGAAGGTAAAAGAGGAAGTCACGACAGCCAAGAGGTACTCTGAGATTTCCCGTAAGTTCCTCCCCGAACTTTCAACTAAAAAACTAACCTGGACCCCTTTGAGTTTTCCTTCATTTTACAACACAGCCCGAGTTGAGTAAGGAAATGACATACCTTGTAGGGGACAAATTCATTTCTCTTGCTCCTTAAGTAAGTTGATAGGTTTCCAAACTTGCAGAATTCCACAATCACCATGAGTGGCCCTGCAGACAGCGTAGCGGGGCAAGAAAGGAAAATGTGTTTTCACTCATATTTTGCACTAAGTGCTAAATATATTGATGAACCCAGAAACGTGTTAGAAGAAGGATCCAACCTCTCACTGGGAAAGGATCATAGAAATCATCTGGCCCCTTCTGTTGTAGCTCTTTCTTTTCCAAAAGGCAATTTTACAACAACAGTAGCCAAAATTTCAGAAGAAAACCCATCTACTTACTTCTCAGTGCAATCACATAAGAGGACTCCATTCTGGGGCAGACTATTCTTAAGTCCTTTGCTTTCAAGTTTTTTGGGGAGTTTAATTTCCTCATCTGAACATCTATTACACAGTGGCAAACTATATCATAGTGGTGTGACATTTTTTAATTCAGAGGATGTTTTAGAATAGTTTGACTATAGTGCCCATTAAACCTCCATGAAATCTATTTATATCTAGGGACCTGCAAAGTATTCTAAGTTAAGCGAAGCAAGGCCATGGGAGTTAGGTGGTTTCCCTCGAATACCAGCGGATAAGCACATGTCACAATTAGGCGACCCCAACCATGCACAGCTACTCACCTCCTGGCTTGGTGCAGGCACCGAGGAGGTTGACCACATTGAGATGGTGGCCGATGTGAATGAGGATCTTGAGTTCAGACATGAGGGCTCGGTGTTCACTGTGCGTTGCACCCTCTACAAATACAGGGCAAAGAGGGAAGTCGCTGGTGTGGGCATTACCTTAGGATGACTGATGCCCCTCTCTCCGCCGCATGCCACTGTGCAACGTACCCTTCGGGGTAACACAGCTGTGGCCTAATTTACAGACTAGTGCATTTCCTCAAAGTCAAGTATAAATCCTATTTTCTAATTTCAAATACAATTCTCACTTTAAGCAAAGCCAGAAGGTTTGATATTAAAAGGAATCCATTGTGAAGTCTTTTACGAAGTAGAGAATACATCTGCAATGGGATCGTGCCCAGATTCTCCTCTTTTATAAAACTGGATTTTTATATTTCAGGTTTACTATGCTTGTTAGGGTCTGATCATTTCAGTGCTTCCCCATAAGGAAGCAACACCGTGTATTAAATATCCTCGGGTTTCAGAGGCTATACTGAATGTTCCAGCCGGTCTGTGCCAATCTGTTCAGGCAGCTGGCAAGGCCAATTGGCACACGAGGCTGATAGCACTGAGACCGTGTGTTTGATCCTGCACACTCTGCTACACTTCCCTCCAATCTCAGGCATGGTCTACACCTCAGGCCCTGATGAGCCACCTCCAAATTACATACTCCCTTGGCCACACAGAGAAAAGGCAAAAGGAGAGATGGCTTCAAAATGCAGGAGACCTCTTGGCAATGGTTCAGTAGCACTGTCTTCATCAATGAAAGCACATCACAGTTGGAGCAAAGAGCTTTGTATGCCTCACTTCACAAAATTAAAACAGCCAGACCAGAATTCCATTACTATTAGGACTAATAATTTTTTATAAAGCTTTTCATTTTGTAAAAAATCACCCATAATCCTTTTTTTCCTAGCACAATCATTCTTTTTTTGAAAATTATTATCTTTTATATATGAAAATCTTTTACATATTCCAATTCTGGAGAACATGTTTTTGCATTCTATCTTCCTTTCCACGTTTCTAGATGGTCTATAATTATCTTACACCACAATACACTAAGAAATAATTTAAATATAACCACAGTACTTTTTTTCCTATAATTAGGACCACTAAGCACAATTATGTCAGCTGAACCACACACAAGGGCACCCAGGCAAGGTAGGTGAAACCCCCGTCCACCTTTGCTTGCCAGGCCGTGCACCCTGGCACGAGGCTACAAAGGAGGATCCTTTATCCACTTTGCACAGGGGCATTATATAGGCTGGCCACATGCTTGGCCAGTGGGCCCACCTAAGGGCAGAGCCACTGATACAAGCCTTGCATCATGTTTAAAGACTGGATAAAACAGAGAGAGAGATAAACCACCATATAATGCTGCCTTTTACCTTTCAACATTTTGACGGCCACTGTCTTGCAAGTTGCTGTCTTGTCAATTCCAAAGGCATCTGCCTCGATCACTTGGCCAAAGGCACCACGGCCAAGAGGCTTGCCTAGAGTCAACAAGAATGGCAACAACAAAACAGGCTTGGATTATTACACCACCAAAGTGACATGCAGAGATTCCGATTAGATGGGGTGACCGTACCTCCCAGTTTAACATGAGTAGTCCACTTCGCTCCCTTGTCCTGGCTTAATATTTAATAATTTCCCCTTCACACTCTAAATGTCCTGCTTTGGAGGATTATTCAGGGATCCTACCTCTAAGTGGCTACCTGAAGGATTACCCACATTTAAGAGATGAAATTAATATTTCTAAACCAGAATCCAACATCTGAATAGACTAGGTTTATCATCATCTTAACGAAAGAAGAAATGGCCTCGTAAACCCAACATCAGATTATTAATAGTATCAGTTGAAAAACGCACCCAGTTTCAGCCGGTCTCTGGGAAATTCCCATTTGTTGGCATCATAGGGCAGGCGTTCACAGTGCTCGTCCAGGGGCAGCTCGTCTGGGTCCATGACGATGGACAAGTAGCCCGTCTTCAGTTCCCCTCCATTGGCCTGGAAAGTATCAATCTTTCCAGTCACATACACCCTGTTGTTTGCCTGTTGTTTGTGTGCTTGTTATTGTTGTTTAGAGGGGCCTCACTCCTGATGTCTCATTTTCCAACAAAACTCATGGAGTTTGAGAGTGTTCCTATTATAATCCTGCTCCTAGTGGCCCTTTATCCCCCAAAGGAGCTCAGAATTAAGTTTTTAAATCTTAATTACACTAGACAGTCCAAGTCCTTTTCCCCTCTAGTGGCTTCTAGCAATTAAAGCCCTGAGGTCCGGCCAAAAGAAAGTGGGCAAGAATGTTATTGTATTGAAATAAAAATGCTCCCATTGAGCCAGTAACAATGGGAAGAAACAACTCAAAGAACCCCAGTCAGCTTTCATTAATCATGAAAACCAATGTGCATGAGACAGAAGGGAAATTATTTTGTTACCCTCTTAACGGTCCGTAGGACGATGACAAGAAGGAGCCAGAAGAACATGGCGATCACCGCGGTGCCTACTAGAATAATGACTTCCAAGTTCGTCTTTTCCTGGGCACCTGGAAAGACACAAGCAAATGTGCATCAACAGCTGGACCTTTATATCTTTTGATATAAGATGATGAAGTGCAACACTAAATCAAGATCTCTTGAAACCCTTAGGAAATTTGGAAAAATCCTAGCAGATAATAGTCACACACCCCCAACTTGGATGGAGTCTACAGAATTCTTAACAGCAAATTTAAAACTTGCCAAACATTGCCCACAAAAACTTCCAACAATAAAATTATAAAGCAATTAAGGATATAAGTATTAAGGTCTTAAAAGACGAATATAGAAAGTGTTTAGAGAAAGAACAATCTTCGATGGGAAGAAAACAGATCATATTCCACAGAGAAGAAAAGTATTTCTATTTCAGGAAAATAAAAGCGTGGTTTTACGCTGACAGTCAACGTTTTGAACTGTGCAGAGTTTGTAAAAGGGTCATATAAGAAATCAAGTAGGGAAATAAATGAAGTCCTTTGACCAGAGAGCTACTGATGACCACATACCTACTATGCATTCATCTCTTTAAATGTATCTTCCCCCTTAATCTTCTCAACCCTCAGTTTTTAGATGAAGAAACAGAAGATCAGAGAGGTCAAGCTACTTGATGGAGGACACACAGCTAGTCGGTGGTTCAGTCAAGGCTTAAACAAGGTCTGTCCAACATGAGCTAACAATTACGTACACCACCCTGTCCTGTGTGGCAAGAGCCAGAGTGAGGAAAAGCGAGAGAGCTGAGATGAGCATGAGATGCATAGCCTGTTAATAGGAGTTTCAAACCACATGTGAAAAAAAAAAAAGAAAACTAGAGTCAGCAAAGAAAACCACAGATGCTCAGGCCTCGGGAGGATGGCTCTGAGCAGGAGAAATCAAATGCAGAAGGAGGTTTTCCACTAAGAGTGATTAGCGAAGAGGTGATAAGGAAACAGTCACCACTTGGGGGTCTCCCATCAGAAGAGTGCAGGGTGGATCAAAACAGCCCACAAACTGTGAGAGCGGCCCCCTGCCCCGCAGCCTCCAGAGAGCAAAAGATAAGTAATAAATTAGTTAGCAAAATCAGAGTTAACTGTTGAGAGACGAGCACCAAGTATGCTTGGAGTGGATTTTGTTTCTTTGGTGGTCCTAGCGAAGAAATTCTTCATTTACACATAGAGATTAGAAGCCCATTTCTATATAGAGAGTACAAAGTTCAAAGAGTCCATTTTCTATGTAAGTTTGTGTATAAATATTCTCATATAACCTTTGGGAACCTAGTGGAAGTCTTCCCTTCTTAGTACTCTCTCCAGGTAAGCAGTGACAATAATGTCTGGCCAATGTTACCTAGTTAAGCATCTGTAACCAGCTGCAGACAGCTACCAGGTGAGGCAGAGCACCAGCGAGAATCTGGACATCCCCCCAAGGATTTGCCCTAAAACACGAATCACTTTGGAAATGACAAAACTGCCATGCCCTTTGAAATCTTTATTTGCAAGTGTGGTTTATGAAATGGTCATATGCCTACAGATTTGAAAACATGACAACATATCTAGATGCAATACTTGGCAACACAGATTTGACAGCTTAAAGGGACCAAAATCTAGACTTCGAGAGACAAGTTAGGATGAGCTCATAGAAATCCATCAGTTCTCCCTTCCATCACCCTCCCTCTTCCTCTCCCTTGCATACCATTCCTTCACCCACACAATACTGTGTTATTGTTCTCCTGGTGGGTTATAAAAAACACACGTAGGAATACACTTCTTAAGATAAAATACTCTGTCACAAATTACTTTTCCTATCTGAGAAAATGCCAGATTTCACATCACTCCTGCACATACACACAGGTTTTCTTTCATATTTGGATAAGAAACAAAAATTTTCCATTTCAGAAAAGCAATGGTCTATTGTTCACAAGTGAATCTTAATTATCTTTGGTCCAATGAAAACTTTGAACCCTCGTGACTATCGGATAGCATTTACCTTCATGACAAGGCAGCGATTCTAATATTTTTCCAAATAAATATAGAGGTATCATTTCTACAAGTTAATGGAGCCGTTCAAGCAAAGAATCAGGGAGAGGAGGATAGTCATCTCTCCTGGCTAAGAATTTTTCCATAATGAGAACTGTAAGGCTAGGAAATGTGATCCCAGCAGAATTAAAACAACATTAATTACGTTTTCTGGTTAAAAGAATATACACTTATTGCAGAAAATTTACAAAGTACAAAGAACATTAAAAACCACCTCTAGTCGTCCCACCCAAAGGGTATGGGTATATATAAGCACAAACTAATCACAGACCCAATGTGTCTATGATTCCCCACTGACCTTCTATTATGAAAAATGCTTCTACTTTTGCACATCCCAGAACACTGCATGCCTGGCAGGTGTAGAGGCCTTCATCCTCCTTCCTCACTCTGCGGATGGTAAGATTCCGGTTCCCGTCTTTCAACACAATGCCTAAGACGGGAGGAAAATGATTATTCTTATTTATAATGATGTGATCTGTGGAGTTTTCCAAAGAAAGCTTTTAAAACATAAATGCTGCCCTTCATCTGGGGCTATTATCTAACTTTGAAGAGTCGCATAGGATCTACTGCTGACTGATCTCCCAAGAGGCTTCCTTGAAAATTCAACAAGGCTCCAAATATTCCGAATCCAAGTCTGTGAAATGAGCCAGACCGTATACACTAATACTACTTTTCTTTTTAACCTCAAAACAAATCAAGAAATGATATGGGTTTTAGGTAACACCCCTGGGAAAATTCTGCGACCAATGAGAGATAAACAAGTTCTACTTGCCTGAGTCTTCCACAAGGGTCTCATTATCTTTAAACCAGGTAATCTGTGGAGGAGGATTCCCAGATGCTATGCACGAAACCTCAATGGTTTCACCAATATTCGTCGTCTGATTCTCTAGGTTTCCTGTGATCATGGGTGCCACGCGCTCTAGGCACATAAAAAGAAAATCATGGAACATATAGTTATAACATGGAATGATTTTCATATCAGGAAATTTTTAAACAGTTTAAACTTAGTAAACAGCAACCTGTTGATTTACTAAGCTGAAAATACACAGAGGCTGATAACAGCACCACTGGCCACTGGGCAAAGTTAAATGAAACAAGTCAGAAGGTTGAGAGAGATTACTGCGTGTCTTCGAACATTCGCGGTAGTGATTCTAGCGAATCACTACCAAAATAATCACATCACATGTGATTAATGTAATCACATCACAAAATAAAGGTTCAGGATCACCTTTATGGATTTTCCCTCTAATCAGACATGACTTCTCAAGGGGGAAACTCTCCTCCCATGAAAGTGCTAACCAATAATAGCCTAGAACTCTCCATGTTTTTCTTGGAAAGTGCCAAACGTCAGTGTAATTCAATGAAGAATACCTTGTATTTATTTGGCAATTTTCACAAAACTCAATTTATATAATTTTTGTTCTTCACTATCAATCTTATGTGACAGGCTGAACAGGACTATTAGCACTATTTAAAGGTGAAATAACTGCAGTTCAGGAAGGGTTAAACAACTTGTCCAAGTCCCTATAAGTAAGTAAACAGTCAAACTGTTCACTGTATCTGCCGAATCTGAAAGACTGGTCCAGTGCTATTTCCACTAAAATACAAACAAACCAAACACCACTCTAAGGAAAGTCATGGATTTAAAGAAGATGAAGCCCATGAGTATTTGTTTAAATGTACAGGAAAACTTTAGATTTCCCCTTTCCCCAAATCACCAAAGTGCTGTGGAAGTATCATGTCCAAATCAACTGAACATCCAAAGGAATCATGCTGAAGAAACCCACTTGAACGCTGTAGTGAAATGAGATTACCTCAACAGTGTGCTACATTAGGGTTTAAGCAAACGTACTGGACTCTGGCCTACTTCTAAGAATAGATTTTAGGAAAAAAGTTCCAAGTCCTTACGGAAGCAAACCAGCTAACTGTAAGCACATATTTCCTGGGCATGGCAAGGCTGGGAGTCTCCTTCACAATCTCTTTCTGAATTCTTCATTGCTCTGAAACCAGACCAGCCACCAATGGCAATACAAGTCCATGGTCATACATGTGGTGTGATTTGCAGAGTCCTGGGGATGATTTAACCCCAAAATATCTCTTCCTCTGACACCTGAGTCTTAAAGCTAGCAAACCTTATGCTAGTATCTGTCAGAGGATATCTTGTAAAATATACCAAGGCCTCTAAGGAAAATATTATTCCTCTGAAACTGTGGTATAGATAAATTTACCTGGGCAGTTCCTCTTCCTAACAGTAAAAAACAGAGGACACATCATAGGAAGCAGGAAGGGACACTAAAAGGAGAAGAAAATGGAGAGAGATGGCACAAAGAGAAACTCCCCAAATTTGCCTGACTGCCCCAGAGACAGATCTATAGCTGTCCCCAATTTTAGCACAAGGCACAAGATTGGACAAACTGTAGAGAGTGGCTCCATGGGGAATTCACAAAACTATGTGCTCACTGAAATTATCATCCCATTGACCTTGAGCTATAGTTGACCACATGGGATGACCCAGAGGTATAGGCGCAGAGTGTAGTACCCTTCCCATGACTCTTCTAGGTCCTAAGCTCAGCCCATCGTCCCACTCTTCACACAGTAGGTAGTATATGCTGCCATGTTCCATGATTAGAGCTACAGCAGGAGGCAAAACAGAGACCAATCTCTGTCCTTATGGACACGGAGACCTCGCTGTGCTCTGACAGCCCAGTGGTTGCCTATGTTCTCATCCTGCCCATCTTGTTCACCACTGTGAACTTCTGGAACTCTCCTAGTTTATAGTAGGCATTCCACAAATAAATACTCTTTAAATAAATGAATGCTCAAGAATAAGGCAGAAATTTCCCAGTTTCGAGCTAAAACTTTGCATATACTTGAGTTACCCCATCATCGGGGTTAAAAGGAACCATGTTATTTTCTTTTTTTAATATATCATTTCACCTTTATTAGCTTTTTTCTGCCTCAGGGACTTTCAGTGAATAAGATAAATGTGTTCCAGTCTACTTCATAAGCTCCTAGAGGATGGTAATTTTTGCGCAGCACCTGAAAGCACTACGTTTAAGGCATTCCAACTGCCTTGGGACAACGATCAGGAGTCGCCTCCCTACCTAGGACTGTGAGCTGTCTGACCACACAGTGTCTTCTCTTGGTCTTCCTGTCTTGAGCAAAGCAGACGTAGTCTCCTTGGTCCTGCAAGGATGCATTCTGGAGCTCCATGATCAAAATGTCATTTGTGCTGTTAGTGAATATGGTGGCATTCAATTTCCAAAGAGTATCCAGGTTCTTGCAAAGAGGCGTGGGCAGCTCTCCCATGTGGATCGGCAGAGCCTGTGAGCCAAGCTTGTACCACGTAAGGTTCTCAAACGTGGTTCTGTCTGCACTGCACCACAAAGACACGCTCTCCTGCTCGGATGGCTGGGTGCCAGGTTTCAAAGTAATTTCAGGACCCCCTGAAATGCAAAGCCCATACTTAGAGGATGGTGATTTAACTTGGTACAACACAGCATCGTTTTCTTGTTGCCTTCAGACTTCTAAAAAGTACCAAAAGAAGTGAGGCTCTAGCACTCTCAGACGATGATGAGGAGACAACCAAATTAGATCCAGGTCCTCAAAAATGTATTATTTGACCAAAATGTAAATGAATTCCCCAAATATTTATCACATCTCCACTATGAGCTCTAAGCACAGTGTTGAGGATAAGAAAAAAAAAATCCAAAGCAGAGTATCTAATCATAATATAGAATTTTTAAAAACTTAGTTCCTCATTAACACAAAACACTCAACACCATTAAAGCTGCATTTATTCCAACCAATTAGCCCAGACTAAAATATTTTACTCAGTATGGTTGGCAAAGGCTTATCCATAAAATTAAAGTGCATAGGTAAGATCAGCAGCACTGGTAGGGCCGTGCTCCTGTGCCATTCCATTTGCCTCCAGAAATGCCAACCTCATCAAGCAGCAAGCTCACCAGTGTCTACTGAAGCTCATGAGCCATGCACAGTGCCAGACTCTGATGGCCAAGACATAAATGTGACATAGAACTGGCGGCTTAAGTCATCTGTGAAACCATTCTCTCTCCAGTGAAGCCGGATGTACTGACTTCACACAAGCCCAGGAGACAGCTGAGGAGTTATGAACGTTTAATTTATGAACATTTAATTCATGAATGAAAGCATCAATTACCAATCCAAGTTCTCATCCTAAACGCCATGCCCCTCACATGAGCGGCAAGGACAACAGAGAATTCCACAGCTAGTAAGTAATCCCACTACCCACTGTTGGAGGGACCCAACCCACCCCTCCAGAGAAGCACACTTACTGGTCACATGGAAGGGGATGACCCTCTCTCCTCTCCCGACTTTGTTGACAGCTTCACATTTGTACAAAGCTGACACATTTGCCGCTTGGATGATAAGGGTACTTACGGTCTGTGGGAAAAAAAACAAGTCCCAGGCCGTAAACAATGCAGGCTGTGTTTGCACAAATGCACTCAGACTCAAACCCAGCAGTCTCCGCAACTGCTCCGACCTGCCTACCCGACTCTCACTTCCCCACTGACCACTCTCAAATTGATGCAATTACAGGCTGAGTATCCCTTATTCAAAATGCCTGGGACCAAAAATGTTTTGGATTTGGGTTTTTGTGGCTTTTTTTCAGATTTTGGAATATTTGCATTATATCCTTACCAGTTAAGTATCCCTAATCCAGAATTCATAATGCTCAAATGAGCATTTCCTTTGAGCGTAAGCATCATGTCAGCACTCAAAAAGTCTTAGATTTTGGAACATTTCGGATTTCAGATTTTCAGATTAAAGATAGTCAATGTGTATAATTATGCTGCTGTGTAGCTCAAACATTATACAAAAAGAGCTTTGGAGACCATGAAATTAATGATGTGCTTTAATATAACAATACACATTTCTTCCTTCTCATGTTTATAAAATCAGAATCACTTTACACAGACGTATGATTGAATGGCATGGATATTTCACTTTTCTCTGATAAGCTATCAATACGTTAATGGTACTGTTAAAAGTCAATGTTGCTTTCAAATTGACTTAAAATGCTAGAATTTTATTATCCAGACTCTTTGATTATTAATCTCTAAATATGTCTCATATGTGATTGCACCATCCTTGCATCCTTCCACGAAAGAGACAGAGAGATTTTGAGATTAAAAAACTTCAAACTCACTTTGTTTCTCCCTTCAATTAGGGCAAATTGGTTTTTGTTGACTTCGATTTTATTTCCCCCCTGGAAGTCCTCCACACTTCTCCATTCTTTACAAGTATACGGGTTTGTCACTGAGACGGCCTGGCTATAAGAAGGACATACAGATTATGTTACAATTCGATTTTTCTTTAGTTCAAATAAATAGCAAGGAAAAGAATCAGACTTTGGTTATTCTGTTCTTAGAAATAACTTTCAGTGTAGCTGACCACATTACCAGACTTGGCGCCACATAAAAATAGGCCCCGGCCATGAAGGAAAAGGTTCTAGGTAGATTCATTCAGGATACAGGAGGGAAGCAGCTATTCTGGGAACAAACATTCATTCATAAATTGGATCGACAAGACAATTCAAGTTAAATTAGTTCAAAGGAAGCAAGGAAACTTAGAAGCCATTGGGCTTCTTAAAGTCATGTCTCTGGGACCATGGCCTCTGTGAAGGAAATGGTCTGCAAATTGAGAAAGAAACTAGTAGTGGCCATTTCGAAAACAACAACAGGAAGTGGACTGCTTAGGGTGGTGGTGGGTTGGCTGTCGCTGTTGTGCTTTTCCCTGAGGATGTCTGGACTTGTGTTGGGACATGATAAGCTGGGACCGAGACGCAGAGGGCTGAGGCTGGGTCTATCACCGCCTCACACCCATCAGCACTTCCTCCGAGAGATGGACCTTCTCACAGACAAGCAGCAGCGATGTGGTCCTCACCGGTTGATCGGTACAAGGAGAAAAATCAAAGATGGGCACTTAGCAAACTGAGCAAATCAGCCTGCATGTGGAAAAGTGTACATAAGGGCTACCCTAAAAAGAGAAACCTAGCTAATCTCAAAGTGGGATACCCTGGGCAAAGACATCCCCTAAAATTTAAGACACAGAGAAAGAAGGAAGGAGATGTAGAGTACCGCTTGAGGGGAAACTTTCTTAGGGATAGCCTTGTAGGCTTAGAATGGAGGCACAGCATAGGTTGACTATACGAAATGCAAAACAGCAGGACAAGAAGAGCACGTGGCCCTGCTCACCTGGGCTTGCTGGGGCACTCTTCCTCCAACTGCCAATACCAGCGGATGTGGTGTGGGGGAGGAATGGCGTAGATTGTGCACGTCAGCGTTTGGGTGGTGCCGTACTGGTAGGAATCCACGGGAGAGATCAGAGACTTCTCACCAATCTCGGGTGGGACTGAACACAGGAAAAACCACGTTTGAATTACCCATCAGCTTTGAAGAATGGGAGGTAGAGGATTTCAGCAACCAAAGCTGACACTTCGGAAAGTGCCCCCACTTTCTTTTGCAAAGAACATCTAGCCTTGGAAACAGATCTGAATTCTAGTGATACTCATAAAATTAACAATAAGCTAATTATAATAATAAACTAATAACTTCAGTGACTTCAGGCAAGTCTTACAAGCCTGTGCCTCAGTTTTTCTCATCTGCATTACAGAGATAGTTCTCTCTGTCCTCCCCGTCTTGCAAGACAAGGGTGAGACTACAGAAAGAAAGTAGCTGGAATAGGATAAACACGCTTACTACACGCCAAGATGGTTCCAAGTGCTCCGCATTAAGTCACTTAATCCTCACAACCACCGTCAGTGTCCCCATGACACAAATAAGAAAAATGAAGCATAGGAAAGTTAAATGACTTGCCCAAGTCACCCAGTTAATAAGTGGCAAAACCTGGAACAAACGAGACACTCGAACTTCTGAACTGAAACACTTAATCACTACTACACTATAAAGGAAGGTGCCAATCTTTGCAGAGTGCATCCCTGCTGACCAGCCGAGCTTTTCATTCTCTTTCCCTCCCCCTTTCTTCCTTCCTCCCTTCCTCCCCACTTCGCTCTCCTTTTTCTTTCTTTCTATTCTGGCTCCAAAGGTATCAGTACAAAACTATTTCCTTAACGCTGTCAACCTAAAGGCTCAGATTATACTTTCAAAACTTGACCTGCTTTTGATGTTTATTTTATATAGCAAGGAAAGTGCTACAGTGAATCAAATGTTTACTAACTTCATGAATTGATGAAATGAGGTTAGTCACTGTCCATTTTTCTGTCTTTATTTCGCGTTCATTTCTTTCTCCCATCCTACTTACATGATCTCCAATTTCTCTCCCCTCCCCCAACCCCCACTCCTATGCTGCTTCTAGGCAACCTTTCTGGAACCTGTTATCTTTAAAATACGCCCTGAAAAAAGAAATGAAGCCAAGCTCAGCAGATATACAGAGGAGTATCAGGACACATGGGGAAGCACCTTGATGTCACGGGAGGATACCCTGAAGTTTTAATACGCCATGCTAGTAGGGAGAACCAAGAACAACAACAGAGAAGCGTTTCTCAAACTGGAGCAAGATATGAATGGATTTGCTCTGGGAAAAAGTGCTCTGGTCAAACAAATTTGCTAAATCTTGAATACTTTGCATCTCTCCCCCTGAGGAATGGCAATATACATTAGCATGTTAAAGGCTCTGAGAAGTCCTGCAATAAAGAAACCTGGTTTATATCACCTTAGCACCTCCCACACTCACTTGACCACCATCCTTCCCCCCCAACCCCAAACATTTGTTTGTATCTTTCAGCTTGAGAAAACGAAGTCTAAATCATCCTTAAATCAAAAACGTATTATCTTCCCTTTACAAATTCAGACTCAGATGTTAGACTCCTGTCAAAAAAAAAGAAAAGATTCCAACCAAGCCAATGGTGTCAACTTCAAAAGGCTTCAGAGCTGAAATGTGCCTGAGCATCACTGATACATCAACTACAACATCAAGCTAGAAGCTTCACACAAAATCCAGGGAGAAGAGTTTTACACATCTGTGTACCAGGTGTGCGCCCCACGAGAGAGGAACAAGAGTGATGTAACTTAGGCTTGACAACTGTCCCTCGCATTTGAACACCATACAGCTCATTTACTTGGCCTCTTTAGAGCACACTGTGTCACGTCTCATTTCAGCCCCACCACCCTTCATATACACAGGCCCAGCCACGACGCGGGTGAAGCGGCAGGAGAGGAAGGGGGGGCGGCGTGGCTGTTTAGGGAGACAGAACCGTACCCTTCATCATAAATCTTGGCCAGAGAAGAAAACCAAGTGAACTCACCATTCACAACCAGAGATACCACGTGGCTCTGCTTCTCCTTTGAAATGGGATTGGTGAGGATGACAGTGTAATTTCCTGTGTCTTTTTCACTCACTTCCATGATCGTCAGTACATGCCCCACTTTAATTGTGTGATTGGACTCAATGGGTCTTCCATTTTTATACCTAGGAAAAAAGAAATTCTCAGGAATTAGAACAATCCGGGGATTCGCTTTCAGGTGAAACAATGCTTCGCGTTTATTCCCAGTAGTTACCATTTTATTTCAGGGGGTGGGTAACCAAGGTACTTCACGGGGACTCTGACACGCTCCCCCACCGTGGCTTCCACCAAAGATTCCATGCCACTGCCAAAAGCAACAAAAGGTTTTTCTGCAACAGAATAAAAATAATTACTCTCATCAATGTCAACTGACTGTAGTCGTTTGGTTTCGTTTTTCATTTCAAGTGAAAAGACAAAGACCTTGGGGGTCTGAGTAGGTATAGTCCCTACCTTCCTATGGGTCACAATCCAGCTTCTCGCACACCCCCAGTCTCTGCATTTGCTTTTCTCTGCCCCCTGGTGTGCTCCCACAAGCCTACTGATTGCTCAAGTCTCAATTCTAGCATTGGCTCCTCTGCACAGCTTTCTCTAAGTCCCACAGGGACCCCTGGGTGCGCCTTCTCCTCTGCTCCTACAACACCCTCCACACACTCCATGTGTTGATGCCACCAGTCCTCAGACTTCTTCTCTTTATCTACACCTTCCTCAAGTCTCAGATTTAAAGTATCATTGACACACCTCCTAAATTTATATCTCCTGCCCTGACTTCTCTGGGTTCCAGGCTTATGGATTAAATATCTCCACTTAGATGCTTAATGGGCATCTCCAAATGAACATACCCAACACTGTTTCCCCAAATCTCACTCCCATCTCAAACTTCCCTGTCTCCGTAAGCAGCAGTCCCATTTACTCAGCTGCTCATGCTACAGCGCAACGGGCATCTCCCACTCCTTCCCCTAACACCCCATAGCCATTGAACCAATCAGCAGATCCTGTTGACTCTTCCTTCAAAACACATCCAGAATCAGATCCCTTCTTCCTACCTCCACCTCTACTGTCCTTGGCCAAGCCACCCGCCATCTCTTACCTGGGTTATTGCAATGAGCCTCCTAACTGGCCTCCCTACTTCTGCCCTTACGTCCCTAAAGTATTTTGTATAACAGAGTAATCCTATGAAAACATAAGCCAGAGTGCGTCTCTCTCTGCTCAAAACCCTTTGATGCATTCCTGTATTATAAAATCCAAAATCCTCACCAAGGCTTGCAAGTAGGATGCCATATAAATTATCATCTAAACAGACATTTATGTGAGTGAGAGTAAATTAAAAATTAAAGTGATTTACTCAAAGCCCCACAGAAAGTCATTGAATCCCCAATTCAATTACAGTTGACCCTTGAACAAGACAGGTTTGAACCGAGCGGGTCCACTTATAAGCAGATTTTCTTTCGCCTCTGTCACCCCTGAGACAGCAAGACCAACTCCTCCTCTTACAACCCCTCCTTAGCTACTCGATGTGAAGATGACAAGGATGAAGACCTGTATGTTGATTCACTTCTACTTAATGAATAGCAAATAGATATTCGCTTCCTTCTGATTTTCTTAGTAACATTTTTTTCCCTCTGGCTTACTTTATTGTAAGAATACAATATATAATACATAGAAGATACAAAATGCACATCAATCGGCTGATTGTTATGGGTAAGGCTTCTGGCTATTAGTAGTTAAGTTTCAGGGGAGTCAAGAGTTATATGTGGATTTTTGACTTTGCGGGGGTTCAGTTCAGTGCCCTTAACCTCTGTGTTGTTCAAGGGTCAACAGGACATTGCAAAATGTTTCCCCAATTTACAAAGCTCTTGCTTATTCAGGTAGGTCTCTCAGCCTTGCGATAAAATGAAATTTTAAAATATATCTTAGATAAAAGCACTCTACTTATTATAGTAATAATTATAATAGCAGCAACAGTAACAAGCAGTATTTAGTGAGCACTTACTATGTTAGCTTATCTCATCCTTAAAGCTGAGATGTGAACCCAAGTCTCTGACCACATAGCTATGCTCTTGACCTCTAGGTCATGTGGCCTCCCCAGCAAGAACTCGAAAGTATCTTATGAATGAACAAAGTAAGAATCACTAAGTGATCTAAATTTATTTAAATTATCTCACTTGTCAAGGCACAGAATAATTTCCAAGGAGACTTAGCTTACCATGGACTCTCACAAATGTGCTGTTGCTCTTGGTCATCAGCCCGCTGGAGGCTGCACAGGTGTACCACCCTTGGTTACTACGCGTGACACTATCTATAGTCAAGGTGCTCAAAAATTTCTTCATCTCACTCCCAGACGGGGTTTTTAGTTCCCGGTTTGTAGGTTTCTTATGTTGATCCTAAAAAGAAGAGTTTACTGAACTTCCAAAGCCCAGCATGACATTACCCGATATCTTCTAGCTACCCCCCAGATTAAGACTTGGCCTTTGGCGAACATTATTTAATGCTCTAATAGGGACTCCAGAACTTTTAACATCATGCAGACAACAAATATATTCGGTGCCAGGAGAAATAAATGGAAGCAGCTGAATGAGGATTTTAAAAACCTCACAAGGTGAGAATGAGACACATACAAACTGCAGAGACCCAAGCAAATATGACCACTGTTCAAGGAAAAGTGTATCTCTTAAAGAGAAACTCCCTTAAAGGGAAAATAGATCAAGCATTTTGGAGAACAGAAAAATAACATAACATGGAAAGATGTAATCACCTGGAGAAAACTAATATTCACAGCCTGATTGTAGCAGAGTGGGCGGAGTTCCTGGCATTTCATCTTTCTGTGAGTGCTGTGTGTTCTGCAATTCTCTTAAAATATATGTGTGTACGCACGTGTGTGTGTGTGTGTGTGTGTGTGTGTCTGTGTGTGTGTGTTTTCAGGCGCTTATATTTTATCTGGCCATAAAGTCCCCTATCTCTCAAGCAAACTTCTTTGGGGCTTATTATCATAGTATTTGGAAGTCTGGCTTTGAATTGTTACTGTTACCTTCAAAGAATGGTGTTCCCAGTTGAATTCAACCCTCACGTTTAGTTCAGTTCTTGCTGTACAATTTAAGACAAGCTTCTCTCCGACAGATAGCTCAACTTCATGAGCGGGGCTTACAAGCACATCATAAATCCTATACCCTGGAGCAAGTCAATTGAAAAAACAGAAAGTGAGAGGGAAAACAAACCTATAACTTGTCACTAATTATTTTAAAAGTGAGGCAATTTAAAAATGTGCCACATCCTTTTTTCCTGAGAGCTTCACCAATACTTGGTAGCTCCTAGGAAGATGGGCTACAGAAATTTACAAAGCACTTCCTTCAGGGATTTCAAAGATGTTGAAGCCCATTGGATAGAAAAATAGTAAAATTTCAGTGGTTTGTAGCCCTAGGCCAATGGGGCCAGCTTTAGCAAATTGCTGAACTTTCCATAAAATAAGTGTCATTTAAAAAATTGACACTGAGCCATGCCTCGAACATTGAATTTTTCATAAAATTGGTTCCGACAATACAATTCTTTTTAAACCTTGGTCTAGGCAAGAAAGGAGACAAATCCAATTGCTCATGGGTTTATGTGTTAGAGAAGAGCAGTTGTAATGAATTGCCCAACACCATATCCTGAATTAACGTATTTTCAATATCCCTGTCCTTTACTCTATACTTTAATCTCCAGGACCTTTATATAGGGAGTCACTCTTTTTTTTTTTTTATTTCAGCATATTATGGGGTTACAGATGTTTAGGTTACGTATGTTGCCCTTGCCCCTGGGAGTCACTCTTAATTGTCTGATATTAATAATACGGAAAGGAGCTTTCCTCTTACCTACAACTGCAACTACGTATGTAATAGACTGGTAACTTTCATCATTAATTTTGGCTTCGCAGAAGACCATGCCAGCATAGCTGATCATGTAGCTGGGAATAGTAAAGCCTTTCTTGCTGTCCCAGGAAATTCTGTTACCATCAGGAACAAACCTCTTTTCTGGATACCTCTGGTTAATAAAAAGAAATATCAAATATTTAATCCAGTACCAAAAATGAAAGCCATGTACAATGATCACTAATAAATTTATCTTATTCCTAAGAATGCATTCATGGCTATCTGACTCTTCCTAAAGGATCTTTTAAAGCTCATTGTGGATATCATATTTTAAACAAACTACCCATGTTAATATTAGTTTAACATTATAAAAACTTGAGAGATGGTTGAAGAAGATGTAACTTACCGCACAAAGTGACACGTTGAGGTTTGAAATGGACCCAAGACATGGAATCACCACAGTTCTGTTTTTGTTCTCGGTAATGTACACAACTCCGTGTTGGTCACTAACAGATGCAATAAATGGAGATCTGTAATCTAAAAGAAAATTTTGTTCCGTTAGTGAGTTAATGGTATTTACTAGAAAAGTTGGTCATCTTTCAGGTTCCTAAACTCCAACCAGAGAAGTGAATGATTGGAAATGACACCTCACACAAGCAAAAGTATCCACAGGTTAGTCTGCTGGTAGACATCTGGCTCCAAGGATATGCTACAGGAGAAGTGTGTGTGTGTGTGTGTGTGTGTGTGTGTGTGTGTGTGTGTGTGTGTATGAAAAATTTGAAAAAAAAACTACCCATTGAAATAGCCTCCTCTTACAAGGTTCATCAAAAAGTAGAATATATTCTATAGAGTCCACATTTTAACAGACTTATCATTGTATTTTTTCAAAATTTACTTTAAAATTTAAAGTTAAATCGATACACTTTATTGACAAGTTTGACTGATGTTAAAAAAATTCATGTTCTCTCTCTTTAGGTAAATAATGTAAATGCCATGAAAACAAATTAATGGATCTCAAAGGATCTTTAAGTTAACAGGAAATAACTAACAATTTTCAAATTCAGTTATATTTAAGAGAGCGTTTTATGTGGGCATATTAAGATTGTGAAGACTAGCGATGTGATTCTTTATAAAATAATATTTAATAGTTATTGCATTTAATTTAAAAATTCAGCAGTCATTAATGTCTTTGATGACAAAACTTTGAAAAGCCACCATGCCAAAGATGGAGAAGAAAACTAAACCATGACTCATGCAGTGTTAATACCCTGCTGGGAACCTACTCCATTCCCCAGAGATAGAGAGGATACGGAGGGGACTCATGCTTGACATCTCAGAGAGAGAACATTTCACATCGCTGCGCCCAACACATCTGATCAAGCATTTTCAGAGCACTTCATGATGGTCGTCACTCAAAGTGAAGAAAGAGTTAATTAAAACAAAGGGCACAAAGGCAGCTAACTCCCTGCAACAGCAGAAGTTTGATTTCCTTCCCAGCTGGAAAGCACAGAAAATCAGCCAATCTAGCCCACCACATGCCACAGCCATTATGTTAGGAGGCCAGAGCCCACTTCCTGGCTCCATCCATTGCTGGGGGGATCGGGGTCAAAAGACTAGGGAAGTAAGGTGGAGACCAGAGGGGACATTAAAGGCCTGCCCATAGGGAACACTTCAGTGTTTTCTTTCCCATTGTTAAACTTCATGACCAAAATCTCGGACAGCCCAACTCCTACAATACCAGGCTTACATAAAAAAGCAGAATTTACTGGTATACTCAAAGATGGGTAGTGTTCAAAAATAAACTGCACTAGAGATTCTTAATATTGCCTACCTTTCATCCACATGTTATGAAAAATTACATAACTTGCTTACGGAGCAAGACTTTGGAAGCTAAATTAACCCTTTGACGTAAGACTGAAGCCATTCAGTAAATCAATTCTATTTCAGTATCCCCCCAAAAAAGGAAATAAACAAAAGAAACCCAAACAACCACCCATCCTCTCAAAATAAAATGTTTACTGTAACTCATGAAATGAATTTTCACATGTCTCCAAGTTTCCTGACTTAGGGAGAAGGAAATAACGAGATATTATGGAAGAGGTTCATCTTGCAGTATTTCCAGACAGGCTGAAAGCAGGAAATCCTTGCAATCTTCTGAGAGAGTCTCATCTCCCAAGACTGCCAGATCAAAAGGAGCCAGAAATTCTCCAAGATCTGAGCCTTGTCTCTTTCGAAACCCGCAGAGGGGAGGAGGAGGGCACAGAAATCTGTCTTTGACTATGCTTACTCTGGGCAAAAATAATTCTCAAACGTTGTGCAATTCAGGAGTGACATAGGTTATTTAGACGTAGTCCCTCCCCACTCGTCCACTGCACTGACCAATCTGCAGTGAAACGTAAGTGGCGATATGCAAGTGTGTTTCCCAAAGCTGATGAAATTCCTGTTCTGTCAAAGTTGCTTCTGGAAAAAAAGTCCAAGTCATCTTTATCTGCCTCAAATTCTCTGGGATTTAAGAGACATATAAATGGGTAAATAAAATGTCCTTAAAAGTTAATCTTCACTGAAAAAAAATCTTCAGTATATTCAAACAAAGTATGATGCAACACTTACATTCCCCCGAATTATATTATAGATACCTCATTAAACTAAGCTCATTAGGTTTCCGCAGGAAAAATGAACAGTATGAGATTTTTAAAACACAAAAGAAAGCATAACTCATATTATAAATACTGAATACGTGTAACATTGCATATGGATCTTAAGTCAGTCTCTGTGGTGTGAGTCCCAACGTGCAAATCCTAGAATGATTGGCATATTGTCCATAATTTCAGGCCAAACAAGCAAAGGAAAGAAATATTGTCCCCAAAATCCCTTGGAAGCACTTTCTTTGCACACAAGTATAGGAATTGTTTTTTATAAAGTATAAGTAAGAAAAAGAAAGTTCCTATGTATAAAAAAAACTCCGGAGCCCCCGGCAAGAATGCTTCCCTATGCATTCTTGGGGAAATCTCCTCTCTGCTATAGATAACTTATCTCTCCGCAAGACACCTCTCCGTAATTCATCCCCAAAGCATCCTTGATTTCAAGAGTTTCAGGTTTTCTTCTTAAACATCAGAAAGATTTTAATAAGTCTCCACTGCCAATGGTGAACACAGATTTACCTTGGAAACAAAGAGCAGAACCAAATTCATTGGGCAAAAGAGAAGTAACAGGGCCCAAGTTCCAGAGCCCATCGATGAGTCTTATTTCTCAGAGGAAGCCTCAGCAGAGAATTTTGTACATTCCAGTTGGCAAACAGCCCTCAGACAGCCTTTTGTTGTACGCAATTCTTCTCTGCACCTATTGTGTTTTATAATTAGCAAATAGACGTGGGAAATGAATTCTATCCCACCGCTTACCTTGAACATGGACATAAATGACTGAAGCCAAGTCAGTTTCCCGGTAAAAGCACTTGTAGGCTCCAGTATCATTTCCGATCACTTTTGGGATTGTGAGTGTCTTACAGAAGAGGCTGTCACTGCACTCTGTTATCTCCACCCTGTCCCCAGTGCCACTCTGATTGTTGGGCCAAAGCCAGTCCAACTCCCGGTGTCCTCTGAAAAATTAATTCCAGAGAAGTATTAATGTGAGGTGCCCTGCTATCAGGCTGTCTTTAAGAAAACAGAAGATTTGGTTCTCAAACTTTACAGAAACTCCTCAACAGACAGATTCGAAGCCTTCTGCCAACAACGACAGGTTGGACTGACATGTGACACAAAGCCACGGGCTCAGCTTCAGAAGTCACTTATAGAGATGCCTGATTTTTCCAATACACAATGCATCCTTTCATTCACCAAATATTTATTAAGCATCTACTATGAGCCAAGCATTGTTAAGGACTGGGGATAGAGCAGTAAAGGAATCAGACAAAAATGGATACCCTTATGGAAACTCAGTCTAACTGGAGGAGACAACTAATTAAAAAATAAGTAAAATTTAGGGTTTAAAACATGGTGTTTAGTCCTGTGGAGAAAAATATAGAAGATGCAAAGAAAAGCGTGAAGAGTTCTGGAGGGAGGGGCTTGATGAAGCTGGCCGCATGAACATCGGGGGAAGCAGTATTCCAGGAAGAGAACACAGTAAAGGGAAAGGCCCTGGATGGGTGCACATTGGAATATTAGCAGAAGAACAGCAAGGAAGCCAGGGTAGCCAGGGTAGCCAGGCCAGGGTAGCCGAGTCAGAGTGAGCAAGGGAGAGAGTAAGAGGCGAGGTTAGGAAGGAAGGAAGTGGAACTCAGAGGCTTGTAGGACTTTTAAGGACCGCGTTAAAACATAGATTACTTGTACTACAGCATTTCTCTACCCCAAAAAGAGAAAGCCCCAAGGAAGTCAACACCAAGAAGAACGTAACATTGTTGGCCCTTCATTCAGAGAACTTGGAATCTCCATGAAGTTGCGGCTACATCAGTGAAGTTGCTTTTAACATACTCCATAGCTTTTTCAGAACACAAGACAAGTTTATGCAGAGTTTTAAAAGGGAGTGTGGAATATTTGGAGATTTTAAATAACCTTTGTTTTCAAGGGCAGGTTAAAAGAATACCTATTGGGAAACGTGTCTGGAACTAGTAAAGATACAGAAATAGCACCTGCTACTATGTTTTTTCCCCAAGGGTTGGATATTGGTGACCTACCCCTGATAAGGGGGCTGGGGTATCCCCTACACTGTGTAATCTAAAACAGACCTGCGTCACTCTGCTAAAAACCTGGCACTCATCAAGTGTGGAGCAGTGGCAATGAGCTGTCCAAGGTTCTTTTGGATCCTCGGCACTCTTCTTGGAGGGCAACATCACCCCCACTTGTCATGGTCTCTGCCAAAAACACACTAGTCCCAAGAAGCCTTCAGGTCTTTCAGGCATGATTACTACATTAAACCCCAAGGTCTTCTATCATTCCTTCCTGGGTAGGGGCTGGAAGGCAAAATTTAAAGTCCTCTTCTTCTTGCCAAAGAGGTCCACTTCCCCAGTTATGAAAAATCAATAGCATGACTTCTTGCTAGCAAGTGGGAGGAGAAACACTCCAGAACACCAAGCCAGAGCATGAGGTGCATTACCTATGCAATACATACACTCAGTAATATTATTGGCTAAATATTAAATTAGTATACTAGTATAGTCATAATTTTTTTATTATAAAATAAAATTCTTGGAAAGGGCTAAAAAGGTGTCCAAGAGTCATACTGAATATAATAAATATGGCCCAAAACTTCTCCAACTCTATTCCTTAAGAGTATGCTCTCCACTTCATTCAATATTATTATTCATTCAATATTTATTGATTGTCTACTATATGCTAGGTGCTAAACCGGTTATTGGTGTGTTGGGTGCGTGCTTGTATGTGTGTTGGCAGAGAGTAGTAGGAAAAAGTACCAGCAAAATAAAACAGAATTTTTGAGGGAAGATCTTTCTTATTTTTTCATTACTACATTAGTTCTTAGAAACCTCACCACTTATAAACAATTACTACAACTCTATTGTAACTCTGCTGTAATGGAAATTATTTTTCCCTGAATAAACAATGAGTTATTTAACACAGGAAATCTGAATCTAGAATGAACCCTTACCTGCAATGAATTTGAAGAGTTGTATTAGCCGTAACTGTGAGTACGTCTTTTTGTATGCTGAGCTTGGGCGGAGCAAGAGAAACACTAGGCAAACCTAAAAACGAATTAAATAAATGAATGTAGTTGCCACTGAGTTAGACCCAGTAGGAAACACCTTCCATAAACAACGCACCCTCTATACTTTAAAAGGCCTCTTCAGCAATTCATTGTATAAAACTGGGAATTTACTTTTCACCATTCTCAGTAAAAGTTCACAAGCTGTGTCATAACAGGAAGAATGGGCAGATGGTCATAAACCAGCACAACAGTTCTGCAATTCAGGGACCTAGGGTGGAGTTCCTGTTTTCCTGCATTGCCAACTTCAAGGTCTTACAAAAGGATATGGGACATTGAAATCAAATGAACCTTCATCTGATGATCTCACTCCCTTGGGAAAGGACCCACTGACATTTCTTATAAAACATAGGATGTACACATTTGGCTAAATTGCTGATTAATGAATACTACTTAGCGAGATTTCTATATGGTTCATCAATGTAGCCTGGAGGGGGTAAGAGCGTCTATGACCTTGTCTCATTTTCCTTTATCAATTTTCTAGTGTGCTTCCCTCCTCTGGTAACTGAACTGTAAAGGCTGAAACAAGGGTTCAGAAAGACTGTACATTAAAACTTGGGCAGAGGAATGAAGGAAGAGAAAACATTTTCCAATTTCATACATATATTCATATGAATATACTTGTCTCCAGAAAGCAGTAGGAAAAAAAGTATAATCTAATTAATTACAACTGGGGAATCTCAACTTACTAATCAAAGCTCTGAGCTCATCCCGACACCAAGCTTGGAATACAAGAAACCTGCTTTTACCTAAAGGCTTCGGAGCCAGAAAAATACCCTGGCATAGATTCCTTGCCATGGGTCACTCCACAGCAAGATAACTGAGTTCTCTGTCAGCTGAATGTGAAGAGCTACCAGGTGTTGAAAAAGCAACAGAGAAAGAAAATCTGTCCACTATGCTATGGTCTTAACACACATCAAGATGTTCAAAACACCAGCTTAAAAAGCAATTGATGCTGGGCAAGCACCCAAGCTTTCTAACTCACATCGACTAAGAACAAATGACTCTCTAGGCCGAAACTGGCATTGACCTTGTTGGACAAATAAGGGAGTATGAACAAATATGAGCAAGTATGAGACAATGTGAATAAAGTATAAGCAAATATCCAGTGCAAATATCCAATGCATTAAATCTGTGGACCCCTATGCGAACAACTGCAGGCAAAAGGAACAATTGATTGCACATGTTCTCACACACCTCCCCAGATGTGCAAAATAGGCTGCTGACATAATTGTAGATTTGTTGATCAACAACACAGTTTTTTTAAATTAAAAAAACCTAGACACTAATTTACATCAATAAATCTCAGAAACGAATTGACATTGGTACACTGGTCCTGACTTACTGTTTGTGCAGTGGTTCTTAAAACTTCAGGCTGTGTCAGAATATCCCTGGGCCTACAAATCTGCTTTTTAACAAGCATTTCAAGTGACCCTATCGTACATGGTCTCTGGGCCACTCTTGGATAGCTACTGGTCTGGGTAGTCATGGTCAGTTAGTTAGCACAGTACTTTGTAACATGAAGGAAGTAACTGCCCTCAAAGTAAGCAAACAAAAACCCCAAATTTTTAAAAGCAAAAGAAAAGCTTTCCCATAATGGAGTCCCACTTTGTTTAAGACAAGGAAAACGAAAACAATTCATCTGGATGAATACAGATTTCAAACCTGACTGGGAAACACGAGGTCGAGAAACATGTTGAAAACATGACAAACAACTCACGCAACAACCCACACGAGAAAGAATCCATTCTATGGGCACATTCACAGGAGAGAAAGAAAAATGGTAGTAGAATGACTCAGCTCTCAGTAGGCTATGGCGACCCCACCGCCAAAATAAGAGACTCTTGAAGATCCCTGAAACTTACTGCCATAGATCTCACACTCTAGAAAGACTTTCCTATGTAAAAATTTTTTTTTAGAAAAAGTATGTTCTTCATTCATAGGAAGCCAAGACACCCCCATACAATTCTAGAGACACATCTACAACAAAAATCTATTCAACAAGGCTATCAATGATAATAACTTCAAATTCATATCTGTAGACCAACACTTATTTTTTTTTTTGCTCCATTAAGCTTCATTCATTTTCATTGGCAAGCTTGAGCTCTACTCTTCAAAAATTTCTAAAGAAATAACTGTAAGAGGTACATATGCTACTATTCAATAAAAAGCCTTTCTATGTTCAAATCCCATGACCAATATTAATTAATCTGGGCACTGTTACCCTTCCAGCTCGAAGACGGGAAGGAAAAACAACAGTGCCTCTGTCTCTAGAATTGGATGGCACCAATTACAGCCCAATCCAATTAAGCAAGTAACACACTCGACGAGGGCAAGCTCACCATTATACTCAGGGCAACCCGATTATGGTTACTACTGCTGCACTAAGAAACACCCTGGGCTTAAAAGCAACTCACTTCTTTGTGGAATACAGAACAACCACATGTTCCAGACCGTCATTCTCTTCCCATAAAGGGGGAGAGAGAGTCCTTGTCAGGGACAAATGAGTGTCCACGGTGGGGCTGGCCCTGATGAAACAAGTCATTATTAAGAAAATTCAATCACCGTAGACAGATGATCTTGGTACTGCATGTGAATGTGCCTGTCTTTTAAGACATGTGCTTCTTTTCTTTCCATGCAAGGATTTTTTTTCCCCTGAACTATTTGACTTTTTTTTTTTCTTTCTCTGACCCGCTCCCCTTTCTCGCCCTCCAAAGGGGGGAAATCTGGGAATCAGCCAAGTATGGCTGCAGAAAAATGGTATCATCTGGAAAAGAAGACGGAGAAAGAAGAGAAGAGAAGAGAAGAGAAGAGAAGAGAAGAGAAGAGAAGAGAAGAGAAGAGAAGAGAAAAGAGCTATTGCATCAGGAGCGTGTGTGTTCCTAACTGAAGGGTTTAGGTGGCAGACAGTGTGGCGAGTGGCGTTAAAACTAGGTACCAAGCCCCGCAGGGTAGATTTTCAGAACTTGAACTTCCGATTATCCGATTATCCGCTTACTCCAAGGACCAAAGGTCTTTGAAAGATGCTGAAAGTTTTCCGTAGGAAAGTTGCCTGTTACTTGGAGACACTTGGGGAGGTTGTCACAGCTCCCGGGACAAGCCACAGTTTTCCCCTCTTCTGTCTAAGAGGAGAGCGCTGTCCTGCACCGAGGAAGGAAAAAAAGTTTCCCTCCCCTCCGGACCTCACTTCGCGCACGTGCATTCGAGCCCGGGGGGAACAGCAGGCCGGTCCCCGCTCGGCTCCTGCAGAGGCAGAGCGGAGCGCACGGTGGGACCCGGGTGACCGGCTCCTGCAGAGGCAGAGCGGAGCGCACGGTGGGACCCGGGTGACCGGCTTGAGCTCCCTGCGAGGCTTCGTTCCCCGCGCCAGGGCTAGGATGCTCGCGCAGCCAGACTACGCTTCACCGCCTGTCCTCGCCTGCGGGGGCACCTCCTGCCTGCCAGCCCCGGGCGCTTTCCCACCCCCGCCTCCCGAGAGCCTGAGGGTGTGTCGGCTCCGCGGGACACGCTCCAGCCGAGCTCCCTGGCGGAGACCAGCGTCACGGAACTGGGCTGGAGCACCGGAGAACACCGGCTGGCTGGGTAACCCTGGGCCAGTCTCTGAGCCTCAGTTTCCCCAGTGGGAAATGCAAGAACACAGAGTGTCAAGTCCCTTCCAATTCTACAGCTCTGTGATTCCCAGTCAGATCGCGCCTCCAGCTCCTCTCCGCCCGCACCCGAGCTCTCCGCCTTCCTCCTGGGGAGTGGGCTCCTTACCCACGGAGGCGGCCCGGGTCTCCACGCAGAGCCACAGAGCGATGGCCAGCAGCGCCTTGCTCTCCATCCTGCACCTCGAGCCGGGCGCAGCGCCCAGAACTCGGGAGCCGCTTCTTTCTCCCCACGCCCGCCCAGCGAAGGAGGCGCGGGGGCGGCACGGGCGGCGCAGCGCAGGACCCCGGAGCGCGCAGGGCGAAGGTGCCCCAGCTCCGGCCGCGGCCGCGGGGGCTTCTGCGTGTGCCTGCGGGAGAGGCTATCCGGCTGCGGGACTGGCTCTGCGCTCTCTGCAGCGCGCGAGGGATGCCCGGCGCGGGCGGAGGACACGCAGCGGCCACCCACCGCCCGCTTGCCCGGGGTCCCGGGACTGCGCCGGGCGCCAGCCGCGCCGCAGCTCTAGAGCGCGGGGGCGGGGCCTCGCGGGGTGGGGCGGGGCGGGGGCGGGGCCCTCCTGGGCCGCCCGCCCCGCCCCTCACCCGGGTACCGGGCCTGGATCTCGTGCTCCCCACGCCTACCGCATCCCTCCCGTTTCCCAGGGAGCCCGTGACCGGGCCGCGCCCGAGTCGCCGTGGGGAGAACATCCTGCAGCAACAACTCCGTTTCTGGTGGAAACAAAATGCAGCTGGTAACCGGCCCTAAGCCACTCCAAGATTCACTTGGCCGGTGGCCTCGGAGATTTGGGAGCATCACCAGGAGCAGGAGCGCCGCGAGGGACACCGCGCCCTCACCAGGAGCGTCAAAGCGCAGGAGCCCTCTTAGCCGTCGCGCGACTCTGAACTGGCCAAGGAGCAGCAGCAGGTTGGAACGACGAGGGAGAAGTGGACACAAAGCCAAGACGTATGCAGCAGGCTTCCAACCCGCAGTGACTCCAGCCAGTAGTTTTGTTTTTTGTACTAAAGTGTTTGTTTTAGAGTGTTTCGTTTGGGCAGCACAATTGTAGTTTAAAAATCTGAATCTGATTGCCATTAATCAGAAAGTACACTTGCTGGTTCACCACGATTCCTGCTATTTCCTCTTCTACCTGGCAGCTTTAAATATTTTGAAGTTGCCTGCCTAACCTCAGAAGGGTTTGGGCCCCCTACCTGGCTCTGGCCAAAAACCCACAGCAGGGACCCAGGGAACTGGAGGTCCCCGAGGCTCCAGCGTACCTGCCGCATGAAGGCCACTCTCCCTCGCATGAGACTCTCCGGACAAGGAATCCCTAGCATAGTTTTGGCCAGGCCCCTTTTCAGAGCACAACTCCCAGCCGGGTACCCTTAGGCCAGGGGAAGGAGTTTTCACTGGGAGAGCAATGAAGCGAAAGCACGCAGGACGCTCTGTGACCAAACCTCACAACCGTCTCTGCGCATGTGGACTTCTGATTGGAGGGGAACTCAGATTCCTTCCTGACCACATTTGTTCCTTCGTGTTTTTGCTCCATTTCTCCCCACACCCGGGGAGTGACATAAAATGTTCCCAAACCTCATTAAATAGGGATCTTCCAGATCCCTCTCTTACTTCCCAGGTGCACTCAGGGGTTTTTTGATGACAGCTTACAGGACTATCCTTCAGCAAGATGAAGAGACAAAATTATTATTTTTACATCTAATCCAAACTAGATTAGTTGTACACAACTAATGTAAGGTGTTGCTTTTCTTCATCTGTTTTTAAATATTTACCGTATTCATTCTCCTTTTCCAGGTTGACAATTGAAATATTTTAAGACTGAAATGTAATGAATGTATATGGTTAAAATTTTTTGGAAAAATACAAAAAGGTTTAGAGTGAAAAGACCTTTCTTTGGTAAAGACAAGCATTTTTTGGTAAAGACAAGACATCCTTTTTTCCAAGCAAATTCTGAACACATACAGGTATATAGGCATATCACCCTCCTCTTTCCACACATGGTAGCTTGGTATAAATGCTGTTGTGAGCCTTGGCTTTTATCACTCTAAAATATACCTTGAAGATCATTCTACATCAACCCTTAAAGCTCCATCTTTTTAATGGTGTTGCACAGTATAGATGTACTAATATTTATCTGGGAGGTATTTATTTGGGGCAGGGGAGAGGATCCTTAAAGAAGCTTCTATCTTCCTGCTAGTAAACTTAGCAAATAAAACAGAATGTGTTCTGGCCCAGTTGGATAAAGGGCAGGGAGATGGACCCAGTTTGGAGAAAGCTATTTTTCTCCACCTCCGTCACCAAACAATTCTTCTCTCTCAACCTTATTTACAATTCATGACACTTCCTCTTCTATGTCCCATTTGGGAAGATAGTGTCTCCTCGGAATGCAAACCAGAACCTGCAGGCCCATGGTAATAGCCCCCTTTAGAAGTCTTAGAGGAAATGATGAGCCTTTGATGGCCACAAGGCCAGAATTTGGCAGAGTCTCAATGAAATCAGTCTACCACACTCCCTCCCACACAGCGCTTAGAAGTGCCTTGTGTTCGTGAAAAGTGGCAAAGTCTGTTAAAAAAAAAAAAAAAAGTCTGTTCCATGTGCAATGTCCTTCCATTATCTGGCATTACAAAGAGGAGTGATTTTTGTGAGTTAATCTGGCAGTACAGGTATGGCCACCATCTAGCAAAATGCATTCAGCGTTCCACAGATGCTATTTGGACACATTCCCTGGAGAACAGCAGAGTATTAGCTGAGTACACAGACTCTAGGGCCAGTGCCTGGATTTGACTTCCAGATCTACCACTTATATATATATGATCTTGACCAACTTACTGGTTATTTGCCTGTGAAGTACACAAAGATTATAATAGTACTTTCTTCATAGCATTTTTATAAGAATTAAAAGACTTACTACATATAAGGCACTTAAAATAGGACCCAGCAGCTAGTAAGCACAAGATCATAGACATAGCACCGAATACGCATTCTGCAAAGGTTAGTTACACTACGGTGTGCAGGCTCCTTCGTGCTGCCAAGATCTAACCCACACGTTAGGCTCATTCATTCAACAGTTTCCGAGCACCTACTACATGCTAGGCACTGTACCAGGAACTGGGATTATGATGGCGAAAATAATGGCAATATGGTCATAAATGAGCAGTCATCACAACAGCTTCTTCCAGGCCAAATTTAATTCCATCACAGATCACTCTGTGTCTACAGCTCCATCTTTGGGCTTGTGCACACAGAGTATACTTTGCTCATATCTAAAGCACACCGCATAAATTACACTCTGCGGTCCCCAAATTTGTTTACATTATCACTGGTATTTTGGACTTCATATCTTAACAAATAAATACGAAGATTTGCAAAAGGTTAATAATTGTGGGAGTTGATGGGCACATAAGGGTTCATTTGACTATTCTCTCTGCTTTTACATGTTTAAAAGTTTCCATGATAAAAAAATTTCTGTTTTAAGTAATTATAGTCAAAGTGATGCCCAGTCTTGTATAACAACACTGACTTTTTGACTGTCAGTGTCTTGATATCGTGAGAATAAGGATTTGGAGTGACTTTGAGTAAAGGTGTTAATCACTTCAGACATCAGTTTCCTCGTTTGTAAATGAGAATAATAATTCTTACCTAGCCTACCTCAACAATTATTATGAAACGCAAATGAGACAATCTCATGAAAGTGCTCTATAAACTGTAAAATACTTTATAGCCATGACGTAAAATTCTTTCAATAGATGTTTAATTTCTTTCCTAGAAGATTCTTTGAATAGATGTTTAATTTCTTTCCTAGAAATACTAGTTACCAAGGCCTGTAATCAGCTGGCTGGTGTCTTCTACACACACCTTCATTACTTGAAAATTGTTTTCAACATTATGAATATCAACTGTTCAAAACTATTTCCTATCTTTCTTTGACATAGAGATGTAGCTATAGAAATAGGTATACAGATATAGAAGAGATATGTAGAGATATAAATGAATAATATAAAATTTTGCAGAAGATTGCATCCTACAGCAATCAGAATAACTATTATTAAAATGACAAAAAGTAACAAATATCGGCAAGAATGCGAAGAAAAGAGAACTCTTTACACGCTGTTGGTGGAAATGTGAATTAGTGCAACTTCTATGGAAAACAGTATGAATATTTCTCAAAGAACTAAAAATAGACCTCCTATACAATCCAGCAATCCCGTTTTCTGGGTATCTACCCAAAGGAAAAGAAATCAATATATAAAAAAATACCTGCACGTGAATATTTACTGCAGTGCTATGCTCAATAGCAAGGATATAGAATCAACCTAAGTATCCATCAATGGAGGACTGCATAAAGAAAATGCAAGATACACACACACACACACACACACAGAATATGACTTAGCCATAAAAAAGAATGAAACCACATCTTTTGCAGGAACGTGGGTGCAACTGTAGGCCGTTATCTTAAGCGAAACGATTCAGACACAGAAAGACAAATACCACATGTTCTCATGTAGAAGTGGGAGCTAAATAATATGTACACGCGGAGGGAGGATATGGAATGATGGATAATGGAGACCGGGCGGTGAGGGGCAGGTGGGAGTGGAGAGGATGATGGGAGGTTGTGCCGTCACACATTGCACCAACGTGCGTTGCTCCAGTGAAGGACGCACTGAAGGCTTTGATTTCACCGCAATGCAATACATCAATGTAGAAAAATAGCACTTGTACCTCATGAATATGTACAAATAAAAAATAAATAGAAAAAACAATCAGAAACAAAAAAAAAGAAAATATCTGGAAGGACACACTAAAAAAATGCCTACCTCTGGGAAATGGCTGAGGCACAGAGGCAGGTGGGTGAGAACTTACCCCTTTTGCTTCGTATATTTCTATAATATTTTTTCAAATCAAGCCCACCTCAAGTACTACTTTTATAAATAAAAATATCAATCAAGATCAATTCTCTTTTCTAGTAGCTGTCATGTTTTTAAATATCGCCGTTTGCTGATTACATATTTGTATGACACTTTCTTGCATTTCCTCTATTTAGTTTCCCATGTTCGTTTAATTTCTAACGTGCCAGAGCCTATGACTACCTCGCTAGATGTTGGCTCAGTTTCACAGCCCAGCCACACTCATAATTATGTGTCTTGGGAGATTATGAGCATACCCTATATTTCTCATTATCTGCCTTCTTTACATACACAAGTTTATTTTGCCCCTTGTGTGATGTATATTTTTAACTTAAACTTAAGATATATTTTTACGTTCAAGGAAAAACAGGCTATGTTACCACAAAGCCAAGCCTGCTTTGGATGCTTCCTTCCAACAGTGTTCAAGTTTATTCTTAAAGCCCTGAATGCTAATAAATATAAAACATACTCCCCATCCTTTTGGTGCAACAGATTAAAGAGAACTTCATTACTTGCTACCTGCAAAGGAAAAATCTCAGGTACTATAAATATGTATACCTATGTTCCTGTCCCAAA